GATGCTTTGATATTTTTTGATCAAGCCCTAGAAAAGTATGGGAAAAATGAAATGCAGCTGTTTGAGAAAGCACTTTGATTTTGGACAACCACTTAAAGTATTTCTTCATCCACTGTGTGTGTAACCCTGTTGGAACTAATCATATGAAGGAAGTTCATAGTATTTAGAACTTCCAAGGTCCTTAGAAATGACTTGGTATGTCCCTTTTGTTTTATAGACAAGGAAACTATAAGCTCAGGGGGAGGTTAATTAATTGACTTGTCTAATATCACACAGAGATAGTAAGCAGCAGTGTTTTTTAGTCTTGAATTAAAACACCTTCTGGTCTGCTTAATGCAGCTTCATAGTGAAATAGAAAAGGAGAGTGGATTTGGGGTGAAAGGACTTGGGGTCAAATCTTACCTCTGTTGCATACTACCTGTGTGACTGTGGGCTAGTCCCTGGACCATAATTCCCTCATCTGAAAAATAAGGAGCTGAGACTAGATGTCCTTTAAAGGTCCCTTTTTGCTCTGTAAGAGCCTTTGATCCTATAGGTGCTTGTTAACTAGTGCTAGGTCATTCTAAAAAACAGTGGGTACAAAAAGATTTATAGCAACTTTTTTTTTTTGTAGTGACAGAGAAGTAGAAACTAAAGAGGTGTACCCATCAGGTAGAGAATGGCTAAACAAATTACAGCATATGAATGTAATGAATGGAATACTTATTTTGGTGTTGTGAGAAATAAGGAAAGGAACATTCAAGAAAACTTGGAAAGCTTGTATGAGCTGAGGCATAGAGAAATGAGCAGAATCAAGAGAACAATCTATACAGTAACAGCAATGCTGTAAAGACAAACAGCTTTGGTTTGGGGTTTTTTTAAGGCAATTGGAGTTAAGTGACTTGCCTAGGGTCACACATCTAATAAGTGTCAAGTGTTTGGTCTGAGGCTGGATTTGAGTTCAGGGCCAGGTGCTCTATCACTGCACAACCTAGCTGCCCCTGAGACAAACAGCTTTGGAAGACAAATTGATGCAGTAACCAGTCATGATTCAGAGAATTGATAATGTCAGATAACAACCTCTCCAGACACAGAGGTGATGGATTCAAGACACAGAATGAGACATAGGTTTTTAGACATGAACAATATAGAAACTTGCTTTTCTTTACTAGGCATATTTGTTAGAAGAATTTTTTTTTTCTTTTAAATCATGGGGAGGGAAGATAGGAAGGGGGAGAAAATATGCTTGTCTATTGAAAAGGAAAGAAAAAAAAGAAGCTCATTGGATAGTCAGGACAGTTTTCTTTTGTTTTGTTTTTTGCTGAGGCAATCAGGATTAAGTGACTTAACCAGGGTCACACAGCTAGTGAGTATGGTGTATCTGAAATCGATTTGAACTCAGGTCCTTCTCACTCCACGGTGGGAGCTGTATCCACTGCACCGCCTGGCTGCCGTTAGAACAGTTATTTCTTAGTAATTGTCCTGGTTGTGTCCTGTCATCTAGAGGACTATTACTGTTTAAAGATAGGATGAGATAATTTTGACCAGATCTCCCCAAATAATGGAGGAAAGTTTGGGACAGGAAGATTTTGACAAGAAGCCTGGGGTTATAATAAGTAAATACCCAAAGACTGTGTTTGAGGGTGTTTACTTTGGCCTTAATGCTTTGTCCTTAGGACTTTAATCTGTGAGAACCGTCAACCTAGTTAGCCAAAAAAGCAGCAGTCAAGCAAAGAACTGAGGAATATACTTCTGGAAGATCTTTCCCCCAAGTTTTCGATAACCCATGTTGCCAAATGGCCTGGAATTTTTCTGTGTTCCTACAGGATTAGTCAGTCACCAAGCATTTACCAAATGTTTACTTGTGTGCTAGTAACTGTGCTGAGTGCTGGGGATTCAAAGAAAGGCAAAAAACAGCCCTTGTCCTCAATGAACTTAAATTCTAACAGGCAGAACAGACCACATGTAAAAAACTACATTACATACAAGGTAGTTATAATAAATATGTGTGTTTATATACATATACACATATATGGGGGGAGGGGACAGTGAGAGTAGATGGCAGATAATTTGAAAGAGGAAGGCAGTAGCAGCTTTGGAAGGGGTGAGGAGGACAGTTTCCTGGGTTTCTGCAGAAGGTGAGATTGAGCTGCGTCTAGCAGGAAGCCAGGGAAAACTAAGATGCAGTGGGGGGAAGGGGAGAGAGAGTGTGTCTAAAATTTATGGGTTATGTGTGTGCAGATATGTTACAGTTATTTACTGCTGTAGAAATTGACAGAGTACAGACACTTCTTAGATTGGCAGGTCCAGAATAAGCACTGACTCTAAGGATTTTTGTATAAAATCTCTAGTTAATTGAATACTTCTACTAGAAAATGACCTTTGATAAGATATTATTTGTGGAAGTTTTTCTTAGCATTAGAAGACAGAAGTTGCACAGCATCAATTTAGATTTATGACTTCTTGTGGAACTGAAGAGAAGTGACTACTATCTATTTTTCCCCCTCTACCTGAATTTCTGTCCTGAAGTGTAGCTACATACTATTTAGGGAGGACTACTTGGGGAAAATTTTTTGTATCATTCTCTAAAATCCTGTAAAAGTCTAGTATTTATTTTTGTATTTAACTTTCTTGTTCCCACATTTAAAAACACCATTTTCCTAGGAATTCTTGACCTCATTTTTTTTTTTCCTGCTTTACCCAGTGATAACTTCTGAACAGTGATAGCTTCTGACAGTGAAACTTAACTTCTGTTTCCTGGCATTTTTGCCATGTAACCCAAGACTGACTTAAAAACTCTTCTCTGGTTTAATGAAGTTCCTGTTTTTTTTTTCTTTTGTCTGTAGCCTTCATCTAGAGCAGGAGACAGTAGAATGGAAAAAGCCCTAAGTTTGAGACTCAGCACCCACCTTTATTGTGTTACTTTAGGCAAGTTGCTTTACCACTCTGAGTCAGTTTCCTTACCTGTAAAAGGGGATAATAATACTGTCATTAGCTACCTCATGGCATTGGAGTAGAGAAATTACTTTGTAAACCTTCAAGTAGTACAAGATGTTTGATATATGTACATTATTAAAAGAGTTGTTTATTGGCAGATGGGAAGTTGATTAAATTACTGAAAGCTGCAACATTTTATTAGGACTGGGGAAGGAACCTCTGGGTAAGAGTAAATTTCAGTGGAGTTCAGTGGAGTATGGTTGGAGAATTGATTGGGTTTTCATTTGGAATTTGTATTTAATAGGATTTGGTTAAACAAAAAAACCCCTAAATATATGCTAAAGAAATTTATTGCTAGGAAAATCTTCAGTGATTCAATCTAGTCTTATGTTTGAATATTTCACTGAGTCATTATCAGGGTATTGGTAGTGTACTTTTGAGTTAGTCCCTTTGCTTATTAGGGTTGCAGATTTGATAGAGGAATACAAAATGCCATGTGTATATGGAATGAGATGGGGATCGAGTTTCAGTTTGCACATTTATAGTTTGAAATTTAATGATGGGTTTAACATGTTGAAGGATATCAAAAACTCCCATTAGTTGAATTTTCCCCCCATACCCCACTTTATGGAAAGAAGACAAATAGCAAGAAAACAAGTCAGGATTTGCTTTTTAAAAATTTTCCAGGGGATGGCCTGATACCGGTGTACTTTAAGCCTAATCTCTTACACTCTATGTTACCTATCTACTAATTCTTCCTATATTACTGGGTAGTCATTAGTGATATTCATAAGCATGACTCTGAGGCACTGGAGCATTCAAGATAATACGTAATAATTCAGCAAAGTGAATGAATCTATTTTAGGAATATGCTGAACTATAAAGATGTTTTAAGTTATCTGACTTTCTGGCCTAACTGTAACTTAAATACGAAATTGAGTTGACTATAACCACTTCTTTAATACTTAAACAGGACAGTTAATTGTTTCATGTTCTTCATTATTTAGGTTATTGATACCTGCATCTCATAGTTTTTAGGTTGAATTGTCTGATGATGGTAAAGTTCTGGGGAGTCACTCATTCAATAAACTTTAACTATTTTGTATCATGCACTGTACCCTAAATGCTACTATGGATACAAAGATAAAACCAAAACAATCATTCCCTCCAAGGGCTTACAATCTTTTTCTTTGGTTTCCATTTCTTTTATAGAATAATATTTTATTTAAAGACACTTAAGTACAATAAGTGGTTTTCAAACAATGTAAGATTTTTTTCCTACTCTCTTGCTTTTTTCTTCAGTTAGTTTGTTGATTCAGAATCATTATAAAACACATTTAACCTTATTGTAATGAGAGGGATAATGAGTCCTACAAATAAAACAAAGTCTATATTATTCCTATAGAAACTGGAAGACAGAAGAAAAGGGTGGCATGGGGTCTAATAATGATCTGCATTTCGAGTGTTGGAACAAACTCCTTTTCTCTCAAAATACCTTCAAAGGTCATTATGTACCAGGGTTGTGAAGGCAAGGATAGAAGAATGTAAGAATATAGGTAGGACAGGCTGGACTAGACATTGTACATAAGATAATATGTTAAATCTGTTAAGACTTACTGATTTATGTATGTGTTTAATCTTCCCTGTACCCCTTCAGAAATTTATGTTTTTGTTGACTAACCAGATGTGTGTTAATGCTTTCCTTTTCAAAAGCTATATACTGATTGTCCTATTTGTATTAATTTCTCCATTGGTGTTTTGAGTTTTGCCTGAAATGAGTAGCACTAGAGAGCAAATGGATTGTGCAGTCTCCATTTCTTTTGTTTTGTTTGACTTTTATGTTTTCTTTGATGAGCTGAATTGATGTATACAAGTATTTAGTAAATTTTCTGCAATCTTGAAACTTGTCCTGGATGTAGATTACCAAAAGGGAAAGAGTGCTAAATGTTGCATTTATTATGGCTATATATTATTTATTATCTAATAGATGCCATTTTTTCCACTTCTTAGCCAGATTTTCTTAGTTCAGAGTTTGATCAGAGGGTATGAGCTAATTGCAATTTCTTTTCTTTCTTATTTTAAAGGCAAATCGGGAGTGGTGCCGAGAAAAATTTCCTTACTAGATGACATTTCATCGCAATGTCAGATCGTTTGGGGCAAATAACCAAGGGAAAGGATGGGAAAAGCAAGTACTCGACTCTCAGCCTATTTGATAAGTATAAAGGAAAGTCAGTAGAAGCTATCAGAAGCACAGGTAAGGAGGCAGGGAAACCAGTTATTCTCCTTAAATAAGAATCTCTAGATTAAAAGCCATAAGAACGTAGTAATTACTATCACACTGGCTCAAACTACAGTGATCCAAGAAGTCCATCATTCTGCCTTAACAGTGGCAACGGGAGCATTTTGTGGGAAGTCATGATTGTTCCTGTGATGAAAGGCCCTGAAAGTTAGGGAGACATTCAGAATGTTTCTAATTTACCATTCTGGAAAGCCTTGATGATAGCCATTGTATTTTGTAGCCTGTATTGCTTCTTGGAGTATTGAGCTCTGTAGGTACAATGACTTCTCTGTGAAATAATATTTGTTATTTGTCCTGAAGCCAACTCAAGTCTAAGATTCAAGGTGATAGCCTTCCTCCCAACCCTTCTTCTGTAATCTTGATACCCGCCACTGTCATTTTTTTCTGCAAAATTGCTGTGTGACCCTGAGCAAGTCATTTAACCTCTCTTTCCCTCAGTTTCCTCATCTATAAAATGGGGAGAATAGCACTTAGCTTATAGTAAGAATAAAATGAGATAGATATATAAAGTGCTATTTAATTCTTAGCTGTAATTATTATTATATAGTGAACAAATCCAAATTGAACTTTTCATACCCATCATGATTTTTTATAAAATTCAATAATTTGCCTTCATAGTTTGGCCTTCCATAGACTTGAGTCCAATTTTCTCAACCTGACAGGGAGTTTTCTCTTCTAAATTAAGATTATAGAATGATTCCAAACTAAGATGAGCCATTAGTGTGTGAGACCAAGAAGTAGGGTTTCTACTTCTTGCTAGGCTCTAGAGATAAAAGATGAAAACTAAAACTTACCACTCTGAAGAAGCTTATAATCTGATAAGGAATTATGACTCTTATCTCTCCTGTGTTATTAGAATTATTTACACCGAGGGAGACTTCTTATTTTTGTCACCCTATGGAACAGTGGATAGAGTGCTGGGCTTGGAATTTGGAGGACTCATGTTCATGAGTTCAAACCTGGCTTCAGATACTTATTAGCTGTGTGACCCTGGGCAAGTCACTTAACCTGTTTGCTTCATTTTCCTCATTTGTAAAATGAGCTGGAGAAGGAAGTGGAAAACTACTCCAGTATCTTTGCTGTGAAAATCCCAAATGGAATCCAGCAGGGTTGGATATGACTGAAACGACTCAATAATAAATGTTATAGTTTGTACTTGTGGCTATATTCTTTTGTTTGTGTTTTAAATCATTATCATTAAGGATTTGAAATTGAAACCATGCTAATGTGGTCTAGCTCCTTTGGTGGCTTTTAATATTTATTACCATCCTTTCCCATTTTACAGTTATTCCTAGACATGGCTTACAGAGTCTCGGGAAAGTTGCCACTGCCCGGCGAATGCCGCCTCCTGCAAACCTGCCAAGCTTGAAGTCTGAAAACAAAGGAAACGACCCTAACATCATTATAGTGCCCAAAGACGGTACAGGATGGGCAAACAAGCAGGAGCAGCCAGACCAAAAGAGGTAGGGCAGACAGCTTTTGGGTGTTATCATAGACTTGGTCAGATGGGAAATGTTTGTTATCTTGTTGGCTCAGGCTATGGTGTTTCCCAGGGTCTACCTTTTGTAGCATTTCCAATTCTGGAATTGAGAATTAAGGAAAATCAGATTGAAGAGTATCTTCCTCTTTAGCTTTCTATTGTTATGGGTGATTCTTGCTTCCTGTCTTCACTTTGCCTAGAGGTTAGAGTTGATAGTACTGTCTAATCAATGGAAGAAATTTTTATAAGTAATATGGTCTTTAAAGTATCTTTTGTTTGCTTTTAAAGCAGGCACACTTGATCTCATTAGAAAAGGCTTCTTAGAAGTGGAGTGGGGGGAATAGAAGGGAGGACAGATTAGGGGAAAGGGTATTGAGAATGCACACCGTCTTGGGGTTGGAGGGACGAGATGGGGAGAAAATTTGTAACTCAAAATCCTGTGGAAGTGAATGTTGAAAACTAAAAATAAATAAATTAATGAGTCTTAAAAAAAAATAAAGGAAATTTTAAAAAGAAAGAAAAGAAAAGGCCTGTTACACCAAAGAATTTCTGTAATGACTTGCTCTATACTGCCTCTGGGTAACATATTGCAGAGTTACTTGGGAAGTTTAGGAATAAGGTATGACATTCCCTGTTTCCTGTGCTCACGTATCAAAGAAAATCCTGTATCTTAGTAAACTTCTGGCTAATCACGTACAGCATTTTAAGAGAATCCCTGTATGGTCATTTACAGTTCATTTGACTAGATAGATTTTGGTCTTAACATTTTCTAGTTATAGCTCCTTCTGTAATCTGTAATCTCAGAGTGTTGATTCTAAGAGGGTGAATTTCAGGATGAAGTTATTGGGACATGAGAGGAAATAATTGCCTATCAGAGAACCACTTGTCAGAGCTATTTGCCAGACAAGAAGACTATTAGTATGTTTTGTACTTTCAGAACAAGAAGGTAAAAGTAGCTCAGAACATAGTTTTCTCTCATCACTGAAAGTGATCATGATAATGTCTATTAAAAACCCATCAGGGGATAGCTTATAGGGTAGGTGGGCAGGTGGAGGGAGCATGGCAAGCTGATCTATTAATATTAATATTTTCACATTCCTAGAGTTTTAGTTTTACAGAGCACTTTTCTCACATCAGCCCTATGAGGTAGGTAGAGTGTAGTTATCCCATTTTATATAGAGCAAAATTAAGGTTTAGAGAGCTAGGAAGGACCTTATAAATCACTTGGTCCAGTCTTTTAATTTTTTTTCTTTTTTTACAGTTGAGACAATTGAGGACCCAAGAGATTGTGAGCTCTCTGAGATTCTAGACCAGATCCTCTTGATTGTAAAGCCAGTGTTCTTTACATTATAGCATGTTGCCTTTAGTGAGCCAGTGTAGCCAGGTTTAGAAAGTAAACCCAAAATATAATCAGATGAAAAGGTGTTAAAACTGGCTAAAATAAAAACACAAAATTTTTATCCTTTGAAATACATAGACACATATCTTTTAAGAATCATTCCACACAAGTTCAAAAACTTAAGTTCTTTGTCTTGAAAATAAGTATTATACAGGATATATAAATGGTGAAATTTAGGCTCTCCTTGTGGTTCAGAGAAAATGATTGGTTGAGATTGTCAAGTAATAAGTGTTTAACAGCCTTAATGAAGAATATTCATGCTGGAGCAGATCCATAAGGGATGAGGTGAAAGAGGAAATTTTTTTAGAAGAAATCATGCCGGCTCAGTCATTCTCTGTATTTCTTCCAGTGCTTTTTTAGGTGTTCGTGCTGGAATGGGTAATTATTTCCTTTCCACTCCAGTCATTTCTTTCTTGTAATGATGAAAGATGATTGGAACTGGGGCTGATTGCATCCTGGTATGTGGGGGTGGAAGGCACAAAAGTGACATCTCTGAACTTGACTGAGCAGAGATAGTGAAGTGCAGGGGAGCCCCAAAGGCCTCTCTACTTTTCTTTGATGTGTAGTAGTGACTAAAAAGAAGGCTTAGATTGGAGCAGAAGAAATAGGGGAGAAATGAAGAACTTTGGTTAACAAATGAGCTCCTAACATAGGGTAAACTATTACATTTTCCCCTAATCCCCACCCCCAAAGCTGGAAAAGCAGTGAATGGATTGAGTTACTAAATCAAAATGCAAGGCTTTCTCATTAAAAAAAAAAATTTTTTTTGTTTCTGTTAAAAAAATAAAGAAACGACTTACTTATGTTTCAAGGAGGTGAAGCTTCTGACAATTTCCTCTTCTGTAAAATGAAGAGGTCTGACTAGATGAATCCTGTGGTCCCAGAAAACATGGAGATCTTAGACCAGAGAATTCATTGCATCACACTGAGCAGTTAAGTTACTTTCTTTTGCTGTGGCTCAGTCATCTCCTCTATAGAGTTCTCTTCACTTTTATCTTTTGCAAAAAAAAATTGAGCTTTTGCAGACAGATGCACCCTAGAAGGTCAGAGAGCTGTTCTGTGCTCATGTTAAAGGCTTAATTTCCTGTTTCTTGCCAGAATGTTGAGGAAAGAGTTTTGTTTTTTTTTAAGAGGGTAATAAAGCCGTAGATTTTACTTCCATTAAACAGTGGAGCACTTGTGGTCTCTGGGGTTTTGTCACCATGCGATATCTTGTCTAATAATGCCAGTTCTGCTGATTTTGTCTAGTTCCAGTGTGACGGCCGCACAGCCGCCGGAGTCGCTGCTGCAGCCGGGTTTGCAGAAATCTGTCTCCAATTTACAGAAGCCGACACAATCAATCAGTCAGGAGGTAGGTGCTGATGTCCTTAGCCTAAATGCTGTCTATGCTCTGTAGCCCCTACATTTTTGTTGGGAACAAGTAGGAGCTGTGCATGACCTCTCTTATTCTGCAAGAGGTCTGGTGTGTGAATAAGGCTTTGGAAAATGCTTCTGTGATATAAAATATTTTGTATTTAACAAATACTGTTTTAAAGAATGACCAAAGACAATAACAAATGAATCACATTTGGTGGCCTTTCTTCTCTCTCTTTTCTTTTCCTTCCCTCTCTTTCTCTTACCTTTCTTCATCCTTTCCCCAGAGGACCATCCCTTATGAAAAAGACAAAAGGAAGAAAAAAACCACTTCAGCAAAATTAATCAGTGCATCAACCAACATTACATTTAGTTTTCTGCACCCATAATTTCCCACCTTTACAAAGAAGAGAGGGAAGTGTTTTTGGTTTTTCTTCTTTTGTGGAGCCAAGCTTGATCATTATAATTAAAGTGTTTAGTTTCATTTTAATTGATGATTTTCTTCTTTTCCTTTATTGTAGTGCTTGTATATATTGCTTTCATGGTTCTGCTTACTTGACTTTGTATCAGTTCGTGTGTGTTCCCATGTTTCTCTGTTTTCTTTAGTTTGTCTTATTGAACAGTTTTATATTGACATACTGCATTTTGTTTAGCCATTCCCCAGTTGATGGCTATCTACTTTAATTCTAGTTCTTTGCTACTACAAAAATGCTATCAAATGCCTGTCTCTGTGTGTGTGTGTGTGTGTGTGTGTGTGTGTGTGTGTGAGAGAACTTTTTTTTTTTTTTTAAATCTTTGAACTCCTTGGAATAAATGCTTAGCGGTTGAAAATCTGGGTCAGGGTCTAAATACTTTAGTCACTTTCCTAACATAATTCTTGTTTTATATATATATATATATACACACATATATACACATATGTACACACACACATACACATATATATATATAAAATTATATGTGATTCTTTTTTTTATTAAATTATTTTGATTTATCAATAATCACTTCCATATGCTTTTGAGTTTTAAATTTTTCTACCCCTTCCTCCCCACCACCCTCTCCAAGACGGCGCACAATCTGATATAGGCTGTACATTTACATTCATATTAAACATATTTTCACATTAGTGATGTTGTAAGTAGAAATTAAAACCAATAAGGAGGAACCATCAGAAAGAGGAAACAAAACTCAACAGAAGAGAAAAAAAATAACAATTCAGCTTCCATAGTTCTTTCTTTGGGTGTGGATAGCATTTTCCATCAAAGGCCTCTGGAGATGTCTTAGATCCTTGTATTGCCAGGAAGGGTTAAGTTTATCAATATTAGTCATCCTACAGCATGGCTGTTATTGTGTACAACGTTCTCTTGGTTCTGCTCACTTCACTCAGCATCAGACTATACAAGTCTTTCCAGGTTTTTTCTGAAGTCAGCCTGTTCATCATTTCTTATAGCACAATAGTATTCCATCACATTCATATACCACAACTTGCTCAGCCATTCCCCAATTGATGGGCATCCTCTCAATTTCCAATTCTTTGCCACTACAAAAAGAGCTGCTATGAATATTTTTGTACATGTAGGTCCTTCTTCCATTTGTGTGATCTCTTTGGGATATAGCCCTAGAAGTGCTATTGCTGGGTCAAGGAGTATGCACATTTTTATAGCCCTTTGGGCATAGTTCCAAATTGCTCTCCAAAATGGTTAGATCATTTCACAACTCCACCAATAATGCATTAGTGTTCCAATTTTCCCACATCTTCTCCAACATTTATATGATTCTTTCTTAACATAATTTCCAGAGTGGTTGAATTGAAGATATGATTTGATTGCTGTTGAGTGATCTTCTGCTTATAGAATCACCAGCCTACACAGAATTATAGCAAAGAAACCACTTTTTTGCTTGATCATTTTTCCATTTCCATATTGGTGAAGTGGGATTTGTAAATGAGGTGGTAAACAGAATGTTTTCTTAAGTTATTGAATTGACCCTCCTAACTTTCCCCTTCCCTCCATCACAGCCTACCCATTGGGCTTGATTGATATCATTAGGAATATAGATTTACCTGGTGACTAGAAAATAATAATGTGGTGAAGAACATTCAGTTCTAAGGGTGTTAACGCACATTAGAAGACGATAGATCCAGACCTAGTTATCTGGGAGTTGGTGAATCTCTTCAAAGGCAGATAAGTGGTACAGTGGATAGAGTGCTGGACTTAGAGTTTAGGAAGACCTGAGTTCAAATCCTATATCAGATACTTGTTTGAGCCTGGGCAAGCAAATGACTTAATCTTTCTTTGCCTCAGTTTCCTTAGCTGTGAAATGGGCATAGCACTTACTTCCCAGGACTGTTGTGAAGATCAAATAAGATAATATGTATAAAGGGCTTTGTAATCCTTAAAGTATATAAATGCTAGCTATTATTATCAAAGCAACATGAATCACATTGAGATTATGTTGTTGTCTGATTGGCAGATGGCTTTTCAGACATTTTCTCCTCTTTTAAAATTTTTAATTGAAATGTGGACAGGTGTGTGACAATGCCAAAAGCTTTTTGTCTCACACTGGTCTCTTAAAAAACCCTACAACCTCAAAAACTACACCAGCCTGAGATGCAACATTGACTGACCCAAATGAGTTGAGCCATGTTGTGACCCACTGAAGAACACACAAGGTTGAGCTCAAATCTAGTTTCCCAGAATTTGAAGCTTAATTTTTTTAAATCACTTCTAGAGTTCATTAAATGGTGTGCATGTTTTCAGTGCTGCTTCTTAGGCTGGGAAGATAAGACAGTGGAGTCAGAAGTCTTCTGTACTTTTTGCTTTTCAAAAGAGACACAATTTGGCAACTTTTGTACTAAGGACAAAACTAACCAGGTCTAACTGAATAGTCAGTTAATGCTTTCTCCCATTGTCACGTTGGCATTTGCTCCCACTGCAGAGGGATGCCTATGGTTGACATGAAAGGTGAACACTCCTGGCTACGGATAGTTTTGGAACAAACATAGGTGTCGGTAGACAAGGCAGTAGCTGAAACTTTTCTTCAATGCCTGCATTATTTCTTCCCCACAAGTTTGATGGAGGGTTATACCCCTACCTGCTCATTCCAATGACTTCTATTTTTTTAAAATTTATGCCTTTTGGTTTTTCTTCAATGTCAGAGTAATTTTCTTGTATTTCTGTATTCCCCATTAAATTTTCCCTTTTAACAAAGAAAAATAGCTAAGCAAAATTGAATGATGGGACAACTCTGCCTCGTGCTCTATGCAAAAACGTTTTCCATCACCACTCTACTAAGAGTAATGTATATGTCCTTTGTTCTTTGGAATCAAGAGTGTTCATTGCTTCAGTTCACTTGTTTTTTAGTTTTATTTCTTTTACATTATTGTAGTCATTATATATATTAGTCTCTTGGTCCTACTTTCTTCATTCTGCAACACTTCATGCAGATCTTCCCATCTTTCTCTGAATTTCTCATATTTACCATTTTTTATGATATAATACTCCATTATATTCATTTATCACATACTGTCTATTTAGTCATTCGTCTGTCAATTGGCACCTACTTTGTTTCCATTTTTTTGATACCACATAGAATACTACTATTAATATTTTGGTGCTGCGTGGGATTTCCTTCTTTCACTTTTTAAGGGGGTATTGTATTCAACCCAGTGGTTGCATCACTAGGTCGTGAATAGCTTAGTGGCTTTCCAGATGTTTTCCAGGATACTTAGGCCAGTTCACAACTATACCAGTTGGGTGGTTTTTTCCTGCTATTTCACAGCCTCTCTAATATTAACTTTTTTCATCTTTTGCCTATAAAGTATGATTTGAAACTCAAGAGTTTCTTTAATTTGCATTTTTCTTATTAGTGATTTGGAGCATTTTGTCATATGTTTACTGATAGTTTGTGTTTTCTCTGAAATTGTTCATAGCTTTTGACCCTTTATCTAGGCTCTTGGTTTTATTATATATTTATGTTAGTTCCATTTGTATCTTTGATATAAAAATTTTTCCAGGAATATTGAATGCAATAATTTCCCTTCCAGTTGACAGCTTCTTTTCTTATTCTAACTGCATTGACTTTGTTTCCAGTGACTTATTCCAGTCTTCATCTTTATCCACTCAGCGCCATAGTTATACTGCTGGTTAGCTCATTTATATTTTGTATGAGAGATCATAGGAGATCTGTTCTGTTAATTTGACACAAAAAGTTTTTTAAAGCATCTTTTTCATGCCAGGTACTCCGCTAGGTCTTGGGGATAAAAAAACAAAACAAAACAAAACAAGACAGTTAATGCCATTGAGGGATTTCTATTTTTTGGGAGGGAGAGGGGGGAGAACATGTATATAAGTAAGGAAATAGAAAACTGATACAGAGTAATTTGAGGGAGAAGGAAAGTATTAGCAACTGGGAAGATTAAGAATTGCCTCATGAAGGGGGCGGTGCCTAAGCTAATAGAAAACAACCACTATGAAGGCCTGAAGATTGGACATGGAATTCTGTGTATGGGGAATCGTAGATATAAGTGGAATGATGCCATCTAGATGAAATTTAGGGAAATATTATTCTATATTGATTGTTGTACAGGTTTAAGAAAATTTTTATATTGTGCATTAATATATTTATATAATATTCACTAATATTAATATTAAGTATTACTATTTAAATATAATATTTAAGATATATCTTTATTGTCTGCTTTTCTAGACTAAAAATATAGAGACCCTGGGTAGCCCGAGGGCCCCTAATTGTTGTGGCTCCCAGCACAGGAATGTAAATAGCAGCTCTTGCATGCTGCAGAGAAGCTGATATGCTCTCTTTGCCATTACAATATGAACCCCTTGAAGGCAGAGAATATTTTTTGCTTTTCTTTGTATTTCAGCACTTAGCACTATGCCTGGCTCATAGGAAACGTTTACTTTTTTTTAACTGACTGTTGAAGGGATAGGTTGGGGAAGAGTCTTAAGATTGTTAGGGCATATCTGTCAGTCACCCTAACCATTTAAGTTGCTATGGTTGTTTTTTTAAATATCTCCCTTTCCAATTGCAAGAGGAAAGCAGTTAATAATAAAGGTTGCAGCAGGGAATAATAACTCCACAAGGAAAACTGGATTAATTTTGAGACCCAGCAAATTTAGATTAAGAGGGAGAATGTATTTCTAGAGTGTTGTGCCATGCAGAGTAAGAATAACTACAGCTGTTTTATTCTTTGCGTAAAAAGATGTTGGTAGTGACCTGTACACCACTTAGAGTTTTCCACTGATCTATTAGTACTCTTACTAAGTCCCTTTGTGACTGACACAGTTTCAACTAATATTTAAAAAGTCATAAGTGTAATAGCCATGAACCAAAAAAAGGATTAAAATTTTATTAACAATCTCTAAGCTTTAACAAGAAAATCGAATGAATTAACAACCAAGCAAAGAAAAGGCTTTTCTTTCATGTGTCTTGTTCCAGACTTCCACATTAGGTTTGTTTTTCTTCCAGAGAAAAGATAAATAGTTGCAGACACTGTATGTACGTGTGTATAGTTCTAGTTCTGCTGGTTCTGTCCTGCAACATCTCACAAAGTCTTACAGTGTACAGTTTTAAAATGGCTGTAAGACTTGAGGTGTATGTAGTTGGTGGGCACCAGAACGCATAGAATGGAACCAGTACAGGGATTGAACTGAAGATTTTGGCTTCATTTAAGCTGTACTCTAACCAAGTAAACTAACCAGCCATAGCCTCATTTTTGTTTTCTTCCTTCCTTTTTATAGAATACAAATTCAGTGCCAGGTGGACCAAAGTCATGGGCACAGCTGAATGGAAAGCCAGTAGGACACGAAGGTGGTGAGTGTGGGTAGAGGGAGCTATATGGTGAACCATTGAGGTGGGCCTAGTCAGCCTTAACTTGACCTGGCATTGTGTGAGATGATTATGAATACCTTAATTCTAAAGTCTTTGAATATTATGTTACTGCTGCTGTGCTGTGTATATAACTGGTTTGTTTTGCAGTGTGTTACTCTTTGAAATCGTTGTATTCTGAGAGAAATATTCATGATGAAGTATGTATAGGAGAGTTGAATAGGCTATCCTGTCAGTCTGTAATTTGTCTGTGCTACTAATAGCTTGGTGTGGTAGGACTGTATATTTCTTCTCTGCCAGAACCCCCAAAGGAGTGTTGCATTACCTTGCACTGTCTTTGGGTATAGGTTTATAAATAATACCACCTTAGGGGATTTGTTGCTTGGTTATTGGCAATTATGTAGGAGAAATTAACAGGTTAAACCTGTAGAGAAAAAGGACATAGATGTAAATATCAAGGGATACCTGTAATATTCTGTGATTTCACAAATAAATGATAGACAACTGTCCAGAATGAGGGATAATATTGAATTTGAATAGAGGTTATCTCAAAACCATGAATTCATACAAATCTAAAATTCCTATTGGTTCTATAAATGCTTGAGGTTCTTTGGGTCAGACTTGAACTGAAAGAAATACAGACCAAAGGAATGACTACAAAGTAAATTTCAGAGTAAGAACAAAACTGTAGCTTCTCTACAGGTGATAAGGACATCTCCAGCCATCATGATGGTGATTGTTTGGTTCACTTTTGGAAGGCTAATAAGCAAGGTGAAGGTTTGCCCTAACACCTTAGGAGAGCCCTGTCTACAGGTAAGAAGCCTTAACATTTTAGAAAGGGGAGAGGAGTAGAGAAAGGATTTAGTTTGTGAGAAGGTTTTATTACTCTAAAAGTAGGACTCTTTTTCTCTTCTATAGAATTTTAATGTCCTAGTCTTTGTCAGGCAAATTATATAGTTTTATAGCAGGCAATATGAAAACATTCTGTGAATGCATTCGGTTCATAGTACTGGTTGATGCTAGAATTAGGCTTCTTACTCCTATTTCTTGGTCCCTACTTTGGATATAACAAGATGTTTCAGATAAAAAGTGAAGGGTATGATGGTTTAGTAAGTATGTAGAAAGAATTATTAAATAGTTTTCATGGCTTAATGGGAAGACTGGTATTAGGAAATTACAAACATTTTGGATTAACACACGTACAGACTATTATGTGGTTATGAAATACTTAAGAGAAAAAAAAGTTATAACAACAATCAAAAGTTAAAATCTTGTCTCCGGTGCTTGGAGAAGGAGCATGGTACGGTGAAAAAAATAATGACTTTGGGATCAGAGGCCGGAGGTTCCAGTCCCACCTCTGCCATATGCTCCTTATGGGATCTTGGGCAAGTCAGTTAAGCTCTGTAGAATTCAGTTCCCTATCTGTAAAATGAGAGAGTGAGACGAGGATCCATATATATTAGATCTGGGAGCTTAGAGGTCATCTGGTCCAGCCTCCTTATTTTATGCATGAGGAACTGAATCCCAGAGAATTTAAGTGACTTGACCGAGGTTACACACAGGTCATAAGCAGCAGTGCCAGGATTTAAATCCAGGTCCTCTGAAACCAATTCCAGTACAATCCTATTCTATCACATTGCCTCAGCCTTTGAGGTCCTTTCTGGTTCTAGATCTGTGATCCTATGATGTGATCATGTGATTTGAATAGGGGTTTTTCAGGACTCCTTGGTTCTGTTCCCAGCATCAGTACTTTTTTGACCCTAGAAGCCAATTTTCATTTAATGTGCCCAACATTTATTAAGTTCCTGACATATATGCACAGTACTCCTACTTAGTTGTTGGGGGAAATACAAAGTTTAGCTAATACCTTATGCCCCTATTAGAATGAAAGTTCCATTAAGGTGTAAACTGTCTTCTCTCCTCAGGGGATTGCATTTTAATGGAGGATAAGCCACAAACACATATGACCATAATGAAAAACATTCATGTTAAGTGCATTAGAGAGTTTCAAAGCAAAGTTCCATATGAGGTCAGATCCCAAGCAGAGGCCACAGAGAAACAGGAGGAGAGTATGGGAAAGGGATGCTTTAGTAAGATGTCGTAGAGGAGGTCACTTTTGAGTTGAACTTCAAAGGATACGTTGGAGTTCAAGGCATACACAGACTAGCATGAGCAAAGGTATGGAGACAAGATAAGCTTATGGCGTATTAAAGAGACAATGAGCAGGCCAGTCAGTTTGGCTAAAGTGTGTGGAATAGATAAAATCAGAGAAGACTGGAATGGTGGGCTAGTAACAGATTATGGAAGACCTTGAATTTGCCTGTAGTACCTTCTTTTCTCAATTTATATAGGGCTAGGGAATCCTCTCTTGAGATTAGTTACTGAATTTTTTAAAGTTAGTGGCTTTGCGATTAACCAGCTTTGTGCATTATTGATAAAAGTTGAAAGAAATTTTAGTAGGAATTGTGTTAATAAGGAGAGGCAGTGTGGTTCAGTGGGAAAAGCACTGGATTTGAAGTCAAGAGGACCTGGGTTTATATCCTGGCTCTGCAGTTTGCTAATTGTCTGAGGTGGTGATCATGAAAGACTCCAAACTGACAGTATTGGACACTAAAGTACAAAACAGGTAGAGCATGTCTTAGGTTTGGTCATTTTCTTTTGAGGTAACTGATGAGAAATGCTTGATTTCAATTTTGCCCCAGTTCCTCCACTGAGAGGTAGTATCTTTTACCTTTTAGATATTGCTTTGGTGAAGATGATTGTAGTCTAGTGATATAATTACATTTGATCTATTATTTTGCCAACCATTTCTGCAAGGGGGTTATTAGTAGCAGATTAATGTGTATGTTGGGGGGAGTTGAGAATGAGTTAGCATCTGGTATGAATGTGTGTATGTGGGTATTTGGCTAATATGTGTCATTGGCAGTGTTACTGTTAGTTCAGGTGGATAGTGAGTGGCCTGTAAAGTGATAAGTTATGGTATTTATAACTTAGCAATATTTATCTTCTTTTTATGTGGATTCTATAGATTGTAGACTAAGAGAAGCAATGGAAAGAGCACTGGACTTGGAGTCTGAGGGCAGGGGTTTAAATCCCGTTGATCATTATTCATGTTAACTTTCTGGACTTCAGTCTCCTCATTTGTAAAATGAGTGGCCTAATCTAGACGACCTCTAGAATCCGTTCCTCCTGCTGGACCCTAAATCTGTGATTATTTGTCCTTTGGCATCTACATCTCAATTACCCAGTCTGTAAAATGCAAGAATTAGATTAGAGAATCTAAGGACCTTTCCAGTTTAAAGATTCTTTATGGATAATGTTAACTTGGATTTATATAGTACCTTTCTTCCTAAGATACTCTAGAAATCAGGTATATACTTGATGCTTATAATTATGCTACCATGGAAGTCTGTGCAAAGAGAAATGCAAAAAAAGCCATATTTAAACATTGACTTTTTAGATCCAGTAATCTCTCCTTTTAAAAAATAGACCTCTTCATATTTTATTCTTGCCAATGACCTTTTTATACCATGAAACAATTGCAAGCTAGACACATCCTTCACAGCAGTAGCTCCTTTGTAACACTTATAAATGAACTCTGGTTAATAGTTTGTGAATAATGTGTACAGTTATTACAATGGCAAGTTTATTTGACTTTGAGACTTCCTTACTAACTGTGGTGGAGAACGAGTTGCTACCTTCTGCATCTGCAATAATTCCAGCTGCATCCTTTTAGCAAAGTCTGCCTTAGTTAAGCAGGACCATGAATCAGTAGTGTTAATTATACCTAGGGGAAATGTGTGCTTGAACTGTGCAGGGAACAGTGCATGCCACAGTCAGGCATTTGATGCGTGCTTCTTATTATTACCGTTGTTATAGGCTTTACCAAATTTATGGCATGCAGGAGGTCTGAAAATTCCACTAAATCCTACTGTGGGTTCTTGAATGCTTCACTTGTCCCCAAGGGCTAAATGTTTGAGGTTAGAGGACTTGAAGAGATGTAAACAAAAATGAGCAGAGCAAAGATGGGCTAAATATAAGAGGGTAGGGACAGTTTGGGAACACCTGGTGATGGAGGTGCCATCTGAAAATACTGCTAGATACACTTCAGCTGAATTTCCTGAAGACCATGTATGTAGCTTCAGGGTAGTCACGTGTTGTCCTTTTTCAAAGATGGCGCCACTGGCTCATCATCAGGAAGGCATGAAATTTACCTTTTATTTTTTTCCAGGAGTGGTGGAGTTGTGCTTATCCATGAGCCCCGTCAGCCACATCCTATCACCTGTCCCCCTTATAACCAACTGTTTTCATTTACAAGGTGGTTTGCAGGGGCAGCTAGGTGGTACAGTGGATAGAGCACCGACCCTGGAGTCAGGAGGACTCGAGTTCAAATCCGGCCTCAGACACATAACCCTCACTAGCTTTGTGACTCTGGGCAAGTCACTTAACCCCAACTGCCCTCACCAAAAAAAAAAATAGAAAAAAAAAACAACAAACCAAAAAAAACCCAACAAGGTGGTTTGCAGTGGTAGGGGTATGGTGGTATATGGTCTATAGACAGAAAGATGTTTATTTGCCTACTTTGAGGATGAAACACATGAGTTTTGTCCTTCACTACCATTGTACTCTAATCAATCCAGGTTGGCCTGTTTAAAAGCAATTCTGTTTAAATGAGCCACAGATTCAGATTTAAAATTTTATAGTTATATAGTTTTCCTAGTTCTTAACTCATTTTTACCACTGAGTCTTCCTGGTTTTATTTGACAGGTTCAAGGGGCTCAAGCCGACTATTATCCTTCTCTCCCGAGGAATTTCCGACGCTGAAAGCAGCTGGCGAGCAGGACAAGGTTGGCAAAGAAAAGGGCGTCTTAGATCTGTCGTATGGGCCAGGACCAAGCCTCCGCCCGCAGAGTAAGTCATTAGGATTCCCTGTATCTGACCACCCGTTGAAGGAGCAGTGGTTTTTCTTCATTCTGTCTTTCTCTCCTGTCTGAAGTTCTCTCCAGTGGCCAGAGCACAAGGGGCCCCACAATGCCAGTAGAGAAACTGTGGCTTTTACCGAATTCTGTCATCCCTGGGCTGTTCTTGCTTAGTTACTTCTCCTCTGTCATCTTAGTGATGGAGGAGGAAGATTAGTTCAAGGAAGCTAATGGAAAATCTAGAATTACATGCCCTTTTTGGCATACAATTGTTAGTTTCTTTGCAGTCATGGTTTTGATAGGCAAAGGGTTAGTTGATTAGGTCACTGATCCTAGTAATGGTACATGCCACTATGTCCCTTCCAGTTATATGTAGACTTCTATCAGTTTTGATTTTTTATGTTCTCTCCAGGGGGTTGGGAAAGATATGACAAAAGGCCACATTTAAGGAGGTGTGACATATCATTCCATTCCTGTTTTAGTCAAAAGACCTAAAAGAAGCACCTGCTTTTTAGGATTTGATTCAGAGATTTGAAAGTGGTTTATTCATTTGCCAGTTAAAGTGGTTAAGCTGCTTTTATTCTTGTGTACCAATTAACCCCCAAACCCTACTCCTTTTCCACCTTCTAATTGAGGTGTGGTAGAACTGCTTTCACTTTGAATCAGGTGTTTATATAGTTAAGTTTGTTTTAAACTGGGGAATTTCTGGACTGGGTAAGTGGAGGCTTGGATTCAAGTCTCAACTCTGCCATTTAACTAATTTTATAAACTTAGGTACCAGGTCTGTTTTCTCATTTGTAAAATAAGTGTTTGGATTAGAAGATCTCTGAGGTCCTGTCCAGCTCTCAAATTTCTCTAATTCCTTGGATTTTCTCACTAATGGAATAGAGGATGAATTGCTGCTATCTCTATCTGCAGTAATCTCAGCTACATCTTTCTGGTAAACTCTGTCAGCAGGACCATGAATCAGTGATGGTAACTATACCTATGGTAAATTTGTGCCTAACTTGTATAGGAAGCAATGCATGCCATGACAAGTTGGTTTTGTGGTTATTAGGATTACTGTTATGGGTTTTCTACACACCACGGCGGGATTCACATAGTATTGGCTTAGCAGTGGTTAATGACTGACTGCTAAAAAGACTCAATAGAAATCAATAATGTGATCTGGCTGCCAAAAATATGTAATGTAGTTTTATGATCATTAATATAAAGGTTTTAAATTTTGTTTTGTTGACTTTTCTTACAGATCACTGTCACTTCCTAATTACCTTCCCCACACCCCCTGTTTAAGACAGTAGTCTTAAAAAAGACAAACAGTTAATTACTGCAATTGTAGACTCCTGCCTTTATCCATAGGAAGGAAATCTATTTCTAGTCCCCTGAAAAAAAGACTAGTCATTATACTAATCTGAATTCTTTTCTCTTTTAGTGTTAATTTTTTTTAATTGTGACCAACAATATGCTGTTCTTTTCGTTCTTCTCTCCAACTGGATCCTGTCCTAATTCTCTCTTGAGCTCTAACCCTACGTCACTAATAACAACCTATTAGACGTTTTAAAGGTACCATGTATACTTCAAAGTCAACATGGTCAAAACAGAACTCATCATCTTTTCCCTAAAACCCCTGCCTCTTCTGAAATTTCTTATCATTGTCAAGGTTGCCACCATCCTTCTTATCACTTAAGGATTTGCAACCAAATTGTTATTCTTGACTCCTCATTTTCCTTTACTCACATATCAAAGCAATTGCAATTGTCTTGACATTTCTTTTACTTTAACAGCTCTTCTGTGGATCCCCTTCTTTCCTTTCACATAGCCACCACCTGAGCGTAGGCCCTCATCACCTCTTGCCTGCACTATTGCCATAGCTTCCTAATTGGTGTCCCTTGCCTCATCCCTCTTCCTACTCTAATCCATCTTCCACATGACTGCCAAAGTGATTTTCCTCAAATTTTCTGACCACGTTAACTCCTCATTCAGTAACTCCATAGTTTATGCTTAGCGTAGTTCCTGGCAGATAGTAAGTGCTTAATAAATACTTAGTGGAGGCAGCTAGTGGCACAGTGGATAGAGTAATCTGACCTTCTGATCCTGGAGTCAGGAGGACCTGAGTTCAAATCTGGTCTCAGACCAGATCTGTGACATTAGCTGTGTGACCTTGGGCAAGTCACTTAACCCCAATTGCCTCACCAAAAAAAATATATATAATAATAATAATAGTAAATAAATAAATACTTAGTGATTGATCAGCTTTCCTGTTACATTTGTGATTAAATATAAACTCTGTCATTTAAAGCTCTTCACAACCTGATCCAATCCTGCCTATTTCTTCTACCCGCTCTGGGTGCCAGCCATATGAGCCTTCTTACTAATCTCTCAACAGGACACTCTAATTCCCGTCTCTATGCCTTTGTATGGGTTAGCCCTAATCTATTACTAGACTGTTCTATCTCCTGACTTCCACCTTTTGGAACCCTTGGCTTTGAGACTTAGCACGAGCATCACTCTCTTCATGAGGCCTATCTTTGTCCTTGTAGCTCATATAGTGCCTTCCCCTTCAAGATTACCTAGCATCTGCCTTGTATATTTTACACTTGCCTATGTATGGCTAAGGTGTCTCCTTTTAGAAGTTTATTATGGAAAGGGCCTGTTTCACTTTTCTGTTTGTAACCCCAATGTCTAATACAGTGCCTGGAATAAGGCTTCATTGATTCTGCTTTCTTCGTTCTGCGTAGTTCATTAAAAAATGGTCTTATCTTAATTCCTTGCAGTCATCATTTCTTAAGGTACAATAAACTATTATTTTCATACACCACACTTTGTTCAGCCATTTCTAAATTGATTAGCAACACCTTTGGTTCTAATTTTCCGCTACCACAAAGAATCTTTTATGCTTATTTTTGTATCTGTAGGACCTTTCTCTTTGTTTTTGATATTCTTAGAGTATAATGCCCAGCAGTAAGTACCTTGGATCATAGGGTATGAGCAGTTTTGTAACTTTTTATGTAATTTCAATTTATTTTCCAGAATGGTTGAAAAAGTTCATAATTTCCATAACAGCACATTAAATATGACTCTTCCTACAGCACCAACATTGACTTCCTGTCTTTTATCATTTTTGCCAATTTGATGGGTGTGAAACAAAACTTCAGGGTTGTTTTAATTTGTATTTCTCTTATTACTAGTGATTGGACCATTTATTTATTTATTTATTTTTTGCAAATGGTTCTTTATATATATATAAAACATTTCTTCTTTTGAAATGTTTTCATATTCTTTAACTACAAACCTATTAGAGAATGGCTCTTGGTCTTTTATATTTGTTAGTTCCTGATGTGTTTTGGATGTCAGATTTTCATCTGATTTCATTTTCATATTTTCCGCCCCTTCATTCCATAGTTTTTTAAAATTCTAGTTACATTGATTTTTGTCAGTACAAAAGCTTTTTAATTTTAGAGATTCAAAATTAACCTTTTAAAAAATGTTTTGGGGCAGCTAGGTGGCACAATGGATAGAGCACCGGCCCTGGAGTCAGGAGGACCAGAGTTCAAATGCAGCCTCAGACCAAACACTTGACACTTACTAGCTGTATGATCCTGGACAAGTCACTTAACCCCCCCCCCCCCCAAAAGAAAAAAAATGTTTTAATTTTATTCCTTGTTTGGTTATGAATTCTCCCCCAAGCCATTGTTATGAAAGGTGCTTATTGGGAACATGATAGCCAACTTTAAATGGCAGAACTGTTACTTGGAAAAGGAATTAGATTATAACTGGAAAGGACAGAACAAGGACCAATGAGGGTGATGTTATAGGGATGCAGATTGTAGCTTTAACTTTCTAAAAATTAAGCGCTGTCTCAAAATGAATGGGTTACTTTGTGATGTCGCAAGTTTACTGATTACTAAAATTCAGGTGAATAATTGACTGGTGTGCATGTTGTAAGCTCCTTAAGGGCAGAGTTTATTTCATTTTTGTATTTTTGTTTCTAGCACCTACCACAGTGCCTGGGATGTAGCTAGTTTTTTGGGTTTTTTTAATTGATTGGTTTACTGTTGTAAAATAGAGAAGGGGGAATGGAAGGGAATAAGTATTTATATGACCCCTCCTGTTTGCCAGGAATTGTGCTAAGCACATTTACAAATATGATCTCATTTGATCCTCACAACAATCCTGAGAGGTAGGTGTTGTTACTATTCTCATTTTTCAGTTGAGGAAACTGAAGCAGACGGAGGTTAAGTGATTTACCCAAAGTCTGACATCTAGTAAGTGTTTGATAACAGATTTGAACTCAGGTCTTCCTGACTCCAGGCCTGGTGCCCTATCCATTGCACCACCAGCTGTTTCTAGCTGTCATTAAAGTAGATTCCTAGGAATTAGAAGTTTGGATTAGATGATTAAGTCTTAGATTTTTTTCCTGAGATTGATTCTATGACTGTTCTCAGAGATACATAGACTTTAGAGTTTTTATCTCAGACCAAGTGTTTAGTGTGATATAATGGAAAAGAGTTATACATTTGGAATCAGAGGATCTGAGTTTGAATCCTATCTTTGTTGCCACCTGTATGTCCTTGGACAAGTTTTATGTTTCCTTAGGTCTCAGATTCTTAGAAAATATGAGAGTTAGACTGGTTGATCTTTAATGTCCATTCTAGGTCTAAATCCCATAATCTTTATGGGATTGGTTAAGATATAGGAAACCCTATATTTCTGGGACATATATTTCAGTAAACTTTTATGATGTGGTGCCTTTGACTAAGAGTTATTTAAGAAGAGTCTTTTAGCTCAATTAAATTGTTTTTTGGCCTGTAACTGTATTTCCCAGTAGCTCTTAATGCAAAATTAAATGATGCTATTTGGTGACAGTGCATTACCAAAATATTCTAGTAAAATGCTATAGGTTACCACTTTTTAAAAATTTCAGTTACTACTGACCAGAGACTAATTTGTTTTTATATAACATGCTTTAATTTATTAAAGGGTTAATTCTGTGGGCCTGTGCTAATCTATATGTTTGGACCAGGACCCTGACACTGGGCCATATTTCTCATTTTCTCTTGGCAGCTGAAATGCCTTTTAGAGAGGCCCATTTATTCTTGGAGTTCATACTCATGTGATAGATTTCTGCTTGACCCAATTCAGCTCGATTTCTCAATTTATATACATTTTTTTTTTATGAAAGAGGGGGTCCCTTTGACCTTCATAACCTCATGCCACTCCTTCCTCCTTCCTCCTTTTTTGCCCCCTTTTAATTTCCAGATGTGACGAGCTGGAGGGAGGGCGGTGGGCGGAACATAACCTCTGCCACATCTCTGACCGCCTCCCCGACTGAGCCGGGCAGCAAGAACTCGAGTACAGGAGATGGAGCCCCCTCCTCGACATGTACCAGCGATTCTAAGGAGCCTTCTCTCCGCCCGGCTCAGCCTGTCCGAAAAGGGGCTTCACAGTTCATGGGAAATGTATACCACCCACCTACATACCATGACATGCTTCCTGCTTTTGTAAGTTCTAAGTGTATAAAATTTTTCTTGAAGTTGGATTGTGTCCAGCAGACCTTAGCTCAGATGGCTGAGTCTTTTTCATATTATCCGAACTCTTCTACCCAGATGTATAATTTTATAGGTTTCCAATCTTTTACATTTTCTTAGTATTTAATTATTTCAGCACTGGTTTTTCAGTATAAACTTGCAGCAGGAAAGAAATGAAAGGGTGGGGGTTAGTACAGTTTTGGGATGATTAATTAGGAAAGTTAAGGGTGCTCTGCAGTTCTTTTCTTGGCAAGTCAGATGTGACAAGAATCATCCATTTTGTATAATTATTTGAAAACCTATTTACCAATATTGTGTTTCAGATGTGTTCACAGCAGTCACCAGAGACCCAGGGTACAGTGGAACGAGGGTCTTTTCCTCTTCCTCAACTACGCCTAGAACCTCGAGTTCCTTTTAGACAGTACCAGATGAATGACCAAGATGGGTAAGATTACTGTATTTGATGTGTAGTTTTTATTTAAGAGTATAACGAATGTAGACAATTTAAAGGTTGTAAGCCAAGTAGGTTATCTTGGGTTTTGGTATGTTAGTTCTATAATGGACAAGAGACACTAGTTTTAAATTTTAAGTCTTTGGGTAAGTTGTTCCAATGTTCCATGTTTCCTCAGGATGCCAGGAGCAATGAATGATGGCCCTTATACTCATACTATGAAATAAAGGGCCTTCTTGCTCTTATATGAAAATAGGTTGAAAGGAGGATTATAGGGAGTAATTTTAAGCATCATATATACCCTTGAACTTTTTAATCACAGAGAATTAAAACAGAAGGAAGAAAGCCAAGAAAATTGTTTATTTTCCTGCAGTCTGTGTGACTGGCATATACAGTATCATTATTCATCTTCCCCCTTCCAATAGGAAAGAAAACAGAATGGGAATGTCCCGCCCAACACGCCCCATAAGGCAGCTAGGGGAACGGGCTCCACGACCCACCATTCTCAATGCTGAAAACCTCAAAGGGCTTGATGAACTTGATACTGATGCAGATGATGGTTGGGCAGGTACGAACTTCCATTGCTTGACTGGTTTTCAAATGACTGCTTGGAAAGGTAGGAATATTAGTAATTCACTTGTGTCCCTGTCTTCTTGACAGGGTTACTAAATTTTTTGTACCTTTTGGCCTATTTTTTTCCTCTTGGTTTGGAAGTGAAGGGGAAAGGTATAGAGGAGCTTATAGGGTTTTACATTTTATTGGAACAGAACTGGGGTTTCTTATTGGTCATAAGACCCGAGCAGTTGCCTTTCATGATAGTTCTTGAAGTAGGTGGGCTTTCTTTTCTGTGTGTGGAGTGGAGTGGGTGTTGTATTTCTGAGTAGTGGGAAATTTCAGAATGTGACTTTATCTGTAGCACTGGTGGCATTTTGTATGATTTGTCTTAGCAGCTGGTTTAGGAGGCTAGCCTTGAGTTCCCTCACCACATTGGAAAGATGTTGAATTTCTCTTCTCGTGTTATTTCTTCCCTGGACCTCCTTTTGCTGTAGGCCTTCATGATGAAGTGGATTATTCAGAGAAACTGAAATTCAGTGAAGATGAGGAAGAGGAAGAGGCTCTTAAAGATGGAAGACAGAAGTGGTAAGAAGGCTTGGCCTGGCTTCTCTAATAACAGCTGTCTAGACTTGAGGATATTTAAAATAGATTTTAGGTGCTACTATAATGCCTCATCATGGCATGAAGGCTGTGTTACTAAACTGTAAACTCTGGGAGGTTCTTCTATTTTGGAAAGACTTCCTTAGTCCTAGCAACACTCCATGGTTTTTTTTGGGGGGGGAGGGCGGTTTTGAGAACCACCCTATATAAGTATGATGAAGGTCATCACCATTAGAATTGAATTCTTTGGCTGCAACAGCCATTGAAACAAAGACTGAAAATGGCCAGTGTTGACATTTTCACAGGAAACAAAATCAGAATAAAAAAGGAAGATGCAGCTAAATGAAAGAATAACTTACAGGTTCTTCTTAGGAAATGTATAGAGGAAAGATATCAGTAAAAAGACCGAAAGATCTTCAAACTTCCTCAAGCAGGAAACACTCAGTGTCCTTGACATGTAGAGAGATGTCTGGCAAAAGGTAGTGTTGTATCAGAGTATAGAAACTCAATTGTAAGATCCCAAAGGGAAGGATAGCAAAAGATAATGAGTAGTATTGCCTCATAAAACAATGAGAAGCAGTGGAAGGAGAAAAAAGCTTAATGCAAAAATCCCAACTGAGCAAAGACACCCCAAGATCATTTAAGAATAAAAAATGTGCAAGTATGGTGGCAGAGATGAAACATAGATGTCCTATAAATGTCTTAAAACTGAATTTACTCTCTTTTTCCCTAATCCTTTTCTTCATAACTTCCCTCTCACTGTCAAGTCACCACCATCCCCTCAGTCCTCCAGGCTAGAAACCTTAGGGGTCATCTTCGACTCCTCATTCTCATCCCACCCCCAACTGGTTGTCAAGGCCTGTCAATATTACATTCATAACACGTCTAGTAGGTGCCTCTTCTCTCCTCTGGCACTGCAGTCACTCTAGGGCAGGCCCTTATCACCTCACACCTGAACTATTGCAATAACTTGTTCACTGGTCTCCTTCCCTCAAGTCTCTCCCTACAACAATCCGTCCTTCTCTCAGCTGTTAGATTTATCTTCTTTAAGTACAGGTCTGGCCATGTCACAAATTTCCCAGTCTACCATTCCATAAACTCTAGTGGATCCCTATCACTTCTAGGATTAGGTATAAAATTTTGGGGAGTTCAACCTAACCTGGCCCCTTCCTATATTTTCAGTCTTCTTCCACCTCATCCCCCTCTACGTAGTCTAGTGACCAGTGATGCTGCTCCCCTTGCTACACTACACATGCCATCTCTTAACTTTGGGCATTTTCATTTGCTGTCCCCTATTCCTGGTTCACTGTCCCTCCTCAACTATCTCTACCTCTGGCTTCCTTCAAGAATTAGCTAAAAGTCCCACCTTCTTCAAGAAGCCATTCTTGATCCCGCCTTAGTGCTAGTGCCTCCCCTCTGTTGATATTTCCTCCAGTTTATCCTATGTATATTTTGTTAGCGCATAATTATTTTCATGTTGTCTTCCCACTAGAATGTGAGCTCCTAAAGAGCAGGAACTGTCTTTTGCCTTTCTTTGTATCCCCAGTACTTAGCACGGCACCTGGCACATAGTAGGTGCTTAGCTTAATAAGTGCTTATTGACCAAATGAAATGGAAAAGATCCATATTTTTGTAACTTTACTGTCTAGTATGGTGGAGCCATCTGTCTCTCCTGAACTTCCTCATTCATGTTAATATACCATAATCTTCCTGTTTACCCAGATTCTTAATCTCTTTGTCTCTTTTCCTCTTTTCTCAACCCTCTTTCTCAGTCTAATCAGTAAACATATCTTGTTGTCTTACCTTCACAAATACCACTTTCATTCATCATAAATCTCCCTGGTTATACAGCCCTAACGCTTGTTCTGGGTCTTTTGCCCTCTTTTCTGGATATTGTTGCTATAGCTTCCTAATTGCTCCTTGTGCTTTCAGTCTCCCTTTTCCAATCCATCCTTCACACAGTTGCCAGATAGGTATTCCTAAAACAAAAGATCTGACAGTATCACTTCCTTACTCAAAAACTCTTATTGTTGTTGCTCAGTCGTGTCTGAGTCTTTGTTGACCCCATTGGTGGTTTTCTTGGCAAACATACTGGAGTGGTTTGCCATTTCCTTCTCAAGCTCATTTTACAGATGAGGAAACTGAGGCAAACAGGGTTGAATGACTTGCCCAGGGTTACATAGCTAGTGAACATCTGAGGCTGGATTTGAATTCAGGTCTTCCTGATTCTAGGCCTGGCGCTCCATCTACTGCACTACCTAGTTGAGTAGATCCCTCTTGCCCCTAGAATAAAATACAAAATCCTCAACCTGATATTGGAAGCTCTCCAAAATCAGGTTCCCATCTACCTTTCCAGTATTACTTTATTACTCTTCTTCACCCCACCTTTTTTTAGTCTGTATAGTTCCCATGCATCACATCTTTTTCCATGCTTTGGTACTAGTATGTAATTCTCTCCCAACCCCCCACCCCCAGTTAGTTATTACTGTTCTCTGTTCCTTTTTTATTTTCTCTTTTCTCTCTGAATTTCTTAGTATTTTCTTTATATTGATTTAGTTGTATACATGTTGGGTTCCCTCAGTAGAATAGAAGGTCCTTCAGGGTAGGGGCTTTTGTATCCTTAGTGCTTTCATACTTGTAGGCTTATAATAAATGTTGGTTGAATTAAATAAAATTTTAGTCTTAGATCAGCCACTGGAGGAATTGGAAATGACATTGCAGAAAACAAATAGGAAACGTAGTTCATATACACAGGTTGTTCGTGCTGGAGGTAACTCAACTGGAGGGCTTTGAGGGGACTGTACAAAGGTGTGGGAGGGAGGGGAGAATATTTAAGATTTTATGGTTTCTAAAGAAAACCAGCCAGGAGAATATCAATAACTAGACTCATCTGCCTACTTTCTATGCAAAATTTTTAAGAGACTAGACCATACACATTTCAAGGGTACTAACTGAAAGGTGTAGAGAATACAAGATACTGCTGTACTTACTGTTTATTGACCATAAGAAAAATATGTGATTTGGTAGAGTAAAACCACTACCTTAAAGACTGGTTTTCAACAAAATGTCTCCTATGCATGTCAAAATCATATAAAATGTTAACATGAAAAATGTCAAACTCTCTCAGTTGTTAATGTCAGTTGAGGCATAAAACTGAGAGATGGAATATTAAACACAGGTGAATACCACTGTCATGGAGAGGGTCCAGCTCAGAGTCTAGTTTGAAGGATTCCCTCCCTGTAGAGTGTAAAGTCTCTAAAGGTGATTCTATTTATGAATGACACTTTATTGATTGCATCAAAGCCAGAACATGTAAAACTTCCTAAACAAGACCCAAGATTTTGGCCTAACTGTGCACATAAGAATTACTAAGTGGATTTAGAGTGTTTATTGTCCACTACACAACCTGTAGTGTCAGTCACACAATACTGATATGTGAGATAGGCACTGCAGATGGAGAGTGAACTGGGTCCATGGTCGGAGAGACATGAAGGGGGAGGAAGAGCACGAGTGTGGGCTGGATTGTTGGGTAGCATAGTTCCCACATACCACATCTTCTTTGGGGAATTTCCCAATTTTTTAAAGAATTTCAAACCTGTCCAGGAAACAAAGGCCTTACTTTTTAATGTCAGTTTTCTTCTAGCTCCCCTTTTTTTCTTTTTAAAAAAAATTTTCATTTTCAGTTCCAAATTCTCATACACACCCCTCCCTCTAACCCTTTCTCCACCAATTACAGAGTCAAGATATATAATATCTATTATACATATGAAATCCTGCAAAACATATCCACGTTAGTTGTTGTTGGGGAAAAAAGCAAGAAAATTAAAGAAAAAATACTCTTCAATCTGTACTCAGAGCCCATCAGTTCTCTCTCTAGAACCCTTTGGAATTGTCATAGATCTTTGTATTGATCAGAGTTAGCTCCCTCTTTTTTAAGCCCTTTAAAAATCCTGACACACTTCTGTAGACTTAGGTGAATCGGGTACTGAGGTTGGGAATCAGGATCCTACAGCTTTGTTGTGAGACTCCAATAGAAATGCAACCCTGAAGGCTACAATATTGACTTAGAAAATCACACATTAATATTATCTAGGTTGTATTTTTAATTTAATTTGTTAAACATTTCCTAATTGCTTTTTACTCTAGTTCGGCTATACCTGAGTTTTCATCCTCTCCCCTACAGCAACGTGATGCCCCATTCTATTACTCTTTTGTTTTAAGCTTAAAATCTGCAGAAGAAAATAATTACCTGTTTTTAAATATTTAGACTGATTTCTAGATCAAAAGCAAACTGTCCTCAACTAGGAAATACTCTGTTATAGTCGAAAGAATACTGGATTTAGAGTCAGAGAACCTTGTTTGAATCATAGCTCTTCCGTTTGTTACCTTTATAATTTTGGCTAAGTCAGTTAACCTCTCCAAACCTGTTTGCTCATCTTTAAAATAAAGAAGTTGGATATGATCCCTAAAGTCCTTTCTAGGTCTAAATTCTAGGTTCTAGATGACTTCTGTGGCTTTTAAGTGGAAGTGTAATTATTTGTGAGTTATCTTCTTTACTCATACTAGATTTTAGCTTTTCTCCTTCATTATGGCCTAATGATGTTAGTGACTTTGTAGGGGTTTGTTGAACTTCTCAGATGAGGCTGGTTAGAAGGACCAGAGTTTGTTTAAAATGATTGGGGGAATTAATCTTAAAAGGAATTTTGTTGTAGGAACAATTGGGATCCAAGGAGACAGCGGCAGTTGTCACTGAGTTCTGCAGACGGTGCTGATGTCAAGCATACCCTGGATGAAGGAAAGAACTGGGGTGAATCTATGGGCTTATCTCGGGCCATCCGTAAGGTGCTAGAGCCTCAGCCGCCTTCCAGGAAGTTGAATAGTTGGACCCCAACTCCTGATTATCAGGTATGTTGGGTGCTTATGAGGTCTGTGCCTTAGCATTCAGGTGGGGAAACATAAAGCTCCATTGATTAAGACAAGAATCATGGTTTACCACATTGGTAGTGCCAAGGCAATAACTGAACAGGGCATTTAATTAGTCATAGGATATCGTTGTATTTCCACTGAATTCTATCAGTGTGTCCATAAAAAGTACATAAATTGTATTATTTTTGATGTCCTTGGGAAATGGCTATTTAAAAGAATCCTATTGTAAATATTTTTATAAAATGGATAATTGTGGTTTATTTTATCTTATGTATAAGTTTAGATTTGATTGTATTTTATTAGTTTCAAGTATTAACAATTTGAATATAAGGAATATAAGAGAAGGCTTATATTTAATTTTATCCTACAGTATTCTGTGAACAGTAATTACTACTGCCACATGTTGCTTTAACATTTTCAAAATGGCTTTACGTGTATCTTTTGAGCTTTACAACAATCCTCTGAGTTAGGTATTATCCGAGTTTTATGGATTAAATATCTTCTGGGTAATTAATATGACCATTCAAGTAATACTTCTTGCCAAATCTGTGATGTGGTGAATATCTTAGTTCAGGTATTGTTAGAATATGCAAAATAATAGCCATTTTTGGTTTGTATTTGAGCCCTGATGGGTCAGTAAATTGCTCTTCACCAGCCAAACTTTGTAACCCATCTGTAGTCCAGCATCTTCAAAGAGAAATCCTCAGATTTTCCTATTTTGTCTTTAATACTCAAAGTAACTATCATAGTTTGGTTAGGGTTGCAGTTTCTTTTGATAAATTAGGTAGGAATCACTTTAATTTTTATATGAATGAGAATGAATTTTATTGTTTCACTGTGGAGTTGTATATTTGGAGGATTATCCATTTTCAAAGGGCTGGAGGAATTGAGTAGTTATGGTCCCTTAAAGAGTAGTGAAGGTGTGGAACCCTGGCCCTGTCCTCTAGTAGTCTAAGCCTACTGGATTTGTTACCCATGGCTCTTTTTGCCCTGGAAAGTGGCTTGGGAGGCATAGAGTGCAACCTTTGTTGGGATAAGACTTGTAATTTCTATTGTCTTTTGAAGTGGCATCTTATCATAGGTTTTCTTGTTTTGGTAGAAGCCTTCAATAAATAACATGCTCCGACAACAGTCTGTGGAAGACAAAGAGGACAAGATGCCCCCACGGCAGAAGTTTGTACCCTCGGAAATCTCTGAGGCTGTGGAAAGAGCCCGAAGACGCCGGGAGGAAGAGGAGCGTCGAGCCCGGGAGGAGAGATTGGCTGCCTGCGCTGCCAAGCTCAAACAGTTAGATCAGAAGTGCAAGCAAGCCCAAAAGGCCAGTGAGGCACAGAAACACCCAGACAGTGAAGCTCCCCGATCCCCAGCCACGGAGAAAAGTTCCCCGCAGGAGAATGGCCAGGCTTTCCACAAAGGTATGAACTGTTGTTCCTCAGGTATGTAACTCCAAACAGCCTCAGCACTCATGGGGTAATTCCATGGGGTTGGTAAATGATATAATATTTTTATAATTACATAGCAACAATCTCTGATGACCTTGGAGTGTATTATAAGCACTGCCTTTGTGTCACAACGTGGTTTCAACAAAGTTTAGGTAAAGTTTAGGCTAAGATTCATTTCCTGGTGTGTGTGTGTGTTTTTTTTTTAATTGGAACAACCATTGCCCTGAGAATTAAACTTGCCTACAGTTAAGTGGTTTATTAGTAGAGATGGGAGAAATTGACATTTGCTGTTTGATTTGATGCTGTTTCTCTGTCCTTTGGCTTTGGTGGTGGCTGCTTTGTCTTTGGAAGAGGATTGTTCTTAGCAGTCACTCTCTATAGCTGGAGCAAAGGGAAAGGCATTTTAGGGGCCAAATGACTGTTGTTCAGTCCTGAGCCTAAAGGCTGAAAGATTATGTGAGTACTCTTGTGTAGTTAAGTTCTTCCTAATTTATTAAAGTCATTCATGTGTCATAAAATTTCTTTCTTCCTTAATGACCTCAGCTAAAAAGAGGGAACAGTGTATGTGGACGGCACAACGTGAATATTGAAGGGTGATGCCTGGCGTCACATTTTCAGCACTTTTGTGAAGTGACAGCATACATTTCTTCTATATTTTGCTCTGTAGCAACACCTGAGTTACTTGCCCAGGAATCTCCTGCTCCTTATAATAAAGAAGAGTCAGCTATCCCTCATGCTGTGACCCAGAGCAGCAGTGATGAGGAACTCCGAGAATCCACATCTCCTGCACAAGAATTCAACAAATACCAAAAATCACTTCCCCCTAGATTTCAGCGCCAACAACAACAGCAGCAGGTAAACACAGTGAACATTTAAAAGAAGCCTACAAAACAAAACAAAGTGACAATTTGAGTTTCCTTCTTAACTTCATCCTTGCCAATCAGTAATTTTAAGAGTTGGACAATTAAAATGGGGACATTGGTAGCTCATTCTATAGCTATTACTTCTTAAAAACAAGGAAGACTCTTTTGAATGAAATTTTTGTTTCTAGAAAGAAGCTCTTGGTCTCTCTTCTGTTTTCCTGGTAGTTAAAAGGCAATTTGCTTGGCTAGCAGTATGTAAATGAAAGTGTGTACTTTAGGCCCTGAAGAGCACTTCTTGTGTCAAAGTAGCATCCTTTGGGTGCTCCATTTTAGGACTGCCTTGAATCTTTTGATCATCACTGTCTCCATTTCCCTTTAGTGTCCACACCCCAAAATAGACTTTATTATGCTTGCAACTTTTTAGGTCTCTTGGAGTAACCATAGAACTTTAAACCCAGAGTCTTCAGGAGCTTTCAGCTGAGCCCTGCAACACTTTCTGCAGGTTACAGCAGAAAGCCCTTGTTACAAGGGCTTTTTTTTTTTTTTTTTTTTTTTTTTTTGGGTGCTTCTTTCTTAGACTGGGAATTTAGTAAGGCAAATTCATGAAGTAAGGCATCTCATTACTGATTGGAGTATTTTGGATAACTTCATTTAAAGAGCACATTAGTAACAGTGACTCAAGTTAACTCTTAACTGAGAGGTGGAATGAACCAGCACCAGGCTGAAAATGATGAACAGGCAAACTTGAAGAAACCAGTAAACAATCTGTGTGCTTGGCTCCTCCATGGACAGATGAGGTTTGGACATGAGGACCTCTGCTGAGTTCTCATGTCTTGCTTCTGTTTTTGAAAGAAGGAAAATAGCCAGCGTGTCTCTGCTACAGTTATTTGATTACTTATTGCTAGGTTGCCCTAAAGAGTAGATATTGCTAGAGCATCCAGGATCTTTTGATATGCTACAATTAATAAGTCTTTGTGGGATATGCTATTTATGCATATTGACCCTCAGCTCCCTTCTTTTACATATGGAATCTACTGCAGCCTCACAGAATCTTAGCAGGCAGATTAGATGGCCTTTTCTGTTTTTATTTGGGGAAGTTTGTGTTGAAGGCACGTTGAATAATGTTGCATTAACACATGTCCTTAACATGCATTAACACACTTAAGAAACTATTGGGCTTACGGAACAAAGTAGGATAAGGGAGAAATAAGCTCTCTCTGGGGCAAATTCCTTGATTTTTCAGTTAACTTTGATTTTGTAGAAAGGATGGATACTGATCAGTTCCAGGCATTAGATTGCATGTAAATAAAAACTGCCTGTGTTGTACTGCGGCAGTATGTCTATTTCTGTGGTTTGGTGACGTAAAGCAGTTTTCACTTTGGAGAGTTTTTATGTCCAAATAAATTGTGACCAACCACAAGGGCCTGAGGCCAAGGCCACAAAGGCTAGCACACCTGGGTTTCTCTTCTCCAGTAGTCATTTCCCGCTTTTGTTTTCCTGTTCCATATGGGATGCTGCTTTGTTTAGTTCTTGATCTCTCAAAACTGTGGCATCTGTTTGATCCAAGCTGGGAGAACATGCCTGTGAGTGGGTAATTCCAGTTCCTGATGTCTTGTGCCTTACCAAATCCATTCTCTGTCTTGATTAGGAACAGCTGTACAAGTTGCAGCACTGGCAGCAGCAGCAGCAGGTCTATCCTCCACCTTCCCATTCCCACCCTCAGCGTACCTTTTACCCACATCACCCTCAGATGCTGGGATTTGATCCTCGTTGGATGATGATGCCTCCCTACATGGATCCACGAATACCTCCAGCTCGAACCCCTGTTGACTTTTACCCTTCAGCTCTACATCCTTCAGGTAAGAGCTTTCCGATTCTGATCTAATCCAGCATTAGTCGACTGACCAGATTCTTTTAGCATTTGAAAAAGTAACATTCTCCTCTGCTCACCAGAAGGGTTTCTTTTGGGGGAGGCTTTGGGGGAGACACACACAAGTTTAGATTCTTAGAACTTCTTTTTACATATTCTTTCTTTTTTTGGTTTGGCAGTGGAGTTAAGTGACTTGCTCAGGGTCACACAGCTAGTAAGTATCAAGTGTCTGAGGCCAGATTTGAACTCAGGTCCTCCTGACTCTGAGGCTGGAGCTCTGTCCACTGCGCCACCTAGCTGCCCCTACATACATTCTCAGAACTAAAAGATCTTAAAAGGTTATCTTGTCTGACTCTAGTCTGACTAGTGAGGAACTTCACCTCCCACAAAGTTAAGTGACTATAACCCAATTTTATCTTATCAGTGATTTTATCTTAATCTGTTTAAGTAGAGTAAAAAAAAATCTCATCTTTCCTTTCCCTTCTCCCCCCCTAATTTCCCTAAGCTGAAGAAGCCTTGTGACTTCTTAAAGGTCTTGCAAGTTTCCAGAACCTTTTACCTTTGTGGTGGATAATGGCTAGCTAGATATAGAGCCTGGGAAATATCATACTGGCATATAGTTTACCCTAGGCAGGCTTTTGGCTTTAAAGGCAGGCTTTAATTCACTTTCCTCAGCTCCATAGCAACAAAAGACCCCTAATACAGGACTCCTTTTAGTTCTCCATCATAAAACCATTTCATCTCTTTAAAAGTTATTTCTAATGTATTACAGATATTAGTTGTGAATAATAAGCTTTGTATATTGGTAACTGATGAGTGGCAACCTTCCAGTACCTTTTCCTATTTTTCTGTTTCTTGAATGTTCTCTTCAGTTAGCTCATAAACTTCCATATCCACCTCCTTTTTCTATCATAAGGAAGAGATTGCACTGGTCCCCACTTTGCAGCTGGGTTCTTAATAAGATTATAGTTATAGGTTCTTTGCTATCTTTAGGAATGATGAAACCAATGATGCCACAGGACTCCATCAATGGGACTGGCTGTCACTCTGAGGAACAGAACTGTCCACCCCTAGTCCAAGAAAGGAAAATGGCTTCAATGGAGCCTGTTCCTGTGTGGAGCCAAGAGAGCTATGTGACAATTCAAAACAAGGGGTATTCTCTCCCCAACCCAAAGCAAAATGACCCAGCTCTGACAGTTGAAGGAGTACATGCCAGGTGAGAGGATGTGTGATGCCACTGACCTACTATGATTAACTAAGGAAGATTTTACTAGTCCCTGCTTATGAGATGAAACTGAGGGTTCAGTGAAAAGCTGCTGGGCAGGTGTAAGAGGTGCATTAGACCTCTTTATGTGCACTTAGGGGAAGAAAGAAGAAGATGGGGCTTTGGATATATGCATTTTTCTTTGGATGCTTCTTTGTGAGAGAATTCTAACTGATGGCAGAATTAAAAGCCCATAAGGAATTCTTGATAACTAAAGTGAGACAGTAACAGATACTGCCTTATTTTCATGCAATAGGACCTCAGGACCTTCTTTTCAGAGTGGGTGGGTCAAGGCTGCTCGTTGTTAAAGTGGAGGAAATTAATGCTGATTTACCTAGTGGACGCATAGAATTCAGCTTACCATTGCTTTCCCCCAAGTTCGTTCTATTTCCGCAATGATACCTTGTGTCTCCCAGGGTTATGAATTCTTCAGTGTTGTGGACTTAAAAGACAGTGACAGACAAATTAGTCAGATAGTCTGACTTGTAAGTTTGTGATTACTTTGTTTAAAGATAGAGAATTCATTATCTTGATGCTTGTCGTTTAAAACACCAAACTTTTTTCCCTCCTCTGTTGGAACTGTATTCAGAATGGAAACCTGGAGCCAGATTCAAATCAAATTTTTTTCTGTTTCCTTTTCAGGAATGAAAGCTCTTACTCTCCCTCAGCTGGAAGGTCAGGAGGTATAAGTGTCCAGCATGATCTTTTTGAAGAGAGAGGGGATGAGTACTTAAATGCTTTTGACAAGAAGGCCCAAACAGACTTTGACAGCTGTGTCTCTTCTCAAAGAATAGGCCAGGAGCTTTTGTTTTCACCCCAGGAAAATGTGCAGGAGGCAATTGCTTCTGGGGTTCACCACACAAATCTCAGGTGCTCCCCATTGGAGTCTGACTTTGTCCCAGGTGATAAAAAGCCAGAATATAGCAGTTGGGATGTTGGACATCAGCAGAAGCCCCTCGACACAACTAACAACCTAGAGGAAGAGGCTTCTAAGGAAGAGCAGTCCTTCAGCTCTGACCCATGGAAGAAGGAGGGCAGTGTCAGCAAACAGCCTGCCTCAGAAACAGAATGGGTCCCTGAGAGCCGAAACACCAATAACCAGCAGCAGGAACAAATCGGGAGGACCCGGAGATCTGGTCCTATTAAGAAACCTGTCTTGAAGGCTCTCAAGGTTGAAGAAAAGGAGAAGGAACTGGAGAAAATTAAGCAGGAAGTGGGGGAAGATAAATTCCATCTAGCCAAAGAGAAGGAACCACTGAACAAAGCTGAGAATGATGGGACTGATGAGGGAGATCCTACATTGGTCAACTCTTCACATTCCCTGCTGGCTCAGAAGGGCCCCTCCCAAACTAGCACTGGCCATGAGGCTGAGAAGTTGGAGGAAGAAGAGAAACCTGATAAGACCTGGGAGACCAAGGTGTCAAGGGAGTCCAGTGATACTCCTCCAACAAAGAGGAATAATTGGATTTTTATAGATGAAGAACAAGCCTTTGGAGGCCGAGGTCAGAATAGAGGCCGTGGCAGAGGTTTCAGAGAATTCACTTTCCGAGGTCGGGGTACTGGTGGAAGTAGCGGCAATGTTTGTGGTAGTGGTGGTATCATTGGTGGGAGAGGAATATATAACAACCAAAGAAGTACCCGAGGGCGGAGTCTCCGTGAGTTCAATCAGTCTGAAGACTTCCCTAGAGGCAAGCCCCGACGCAGAATTGCCAGTGAGACTCACAGTGAGGGCTCTGAGTATGAAGAACTTCCTAAACGGCGACGTCAAAGGGGATCAGATAACGGGAATGAAGGCTCCCATCTGGAAAGAGAAGAGAGTGAATTGAAGAAAGGTGATTACAAAGATTCCTGGCGATCTAACAAGATCTATTCAGATGACCACAGTAGTTTGGACACTAAGAACAGAGCCCCTCGAGCCTTTGGCCGAGCACTGCCCCCAAGGCTGAGTAACTCTGGGTATGGACGGAGAAGCTTTGTGTCAAAGGAGTCATCCCATTGGCAGGGCAAAAGTAGTGGAGGTTCTTGGCAGGAATACCACAATGGTATGTCCTCAGATACTTTTGGGACTCGAAGACAAACAGACCGAGACTATATCCAAGATAATTACAAACATTCTGATTCATTCAGCGGGAGAGGCTTTGAAGACAATCACCTGGATGATAAGAGGTCCTTTTTCCAGGATGATTATGCAGATTCTGAAAATGTGGAAAACCGGCCCTTCCGAAGACGGCGGCCCCCCAGGCAAGACAAACCACCTAGATTTAGGCGTCTCCGACAAGAACGAGAGTCCTTAGGCCAGTGGGGTACGGATGAGGGACCAAACTTACTTTCTTCTGGTCAATGGTCAGGAAGGCCAAAGTTGGTTCTGGCAGAGAAAAGCAACCTGTCTGGCCGGAGAACCCCTGAACTCTCCTACCAGAATTCTTCTGATCATGCCAATGAGGAGTGGGAGACAGCATCTGAGAGCAGTGACTTCAGTGAAAGGCGGGAGCGGCGGGATGGTGGAACAGCTGAGGCTGATCCCCAACTGGATAGTAGCTTGTCTGGGACCAGTTTGGGTGAGAAGAGAGAATTGGCTAAACGGAGCTTCTCTAGCCAGAGACCGCTAGTGGACAGGCAGAGCCGCAAGATGGAACCTGGAGGGTTTGGAGAGAAGTCTGTAAGGCAAGGAAACAACGGATCTGCTACCCGCTATGAGACCCAACAGAATGGGACACCTTTGAAAGCCAAAAGGTAAAAAAAACACAAAATCCCTGTTTGGTTTTTTTTATTTTTTAAAAATACAAAGAAACTTGTAGAGCTTCATACATCAAGTTAGATATATCTATCTATCTGTCTGTCACATATCTGACATGTGTCAGATGGTCCCTAACTCACTGTAAAGTTGCATACCAGAAATGCTAACTGCTAACATCACTGTTCATGGTTTTTTTCTCCATTAACCATAAGCAGTGTTTTTCTGTTGTTACTGTTGTGACTTTAAAGCTAAAACACACACGCACACAAACTCACTCTCTCTCTCTCTCTCTCTCTCTCTCTCTCTCTCTCTCTCTCTCTCCCCCCCCTTCTCTCCCCCTCTCCCCCCCTCCCCCCACCAAGTATCTTCTTGTGGTTCCGAAGATAAAAGTAAAGGACTGCCTTATGTCTGGCCTGCATCCTATAAAGTCTAACATCCTTCGTGGTGTCATAAGCCCTGCCCAGGGGAATCACTGCAAGGAAAGCAGTTTTTCTTTGCAACAAGATAATAAGCAATAACTCGTTTATTTCTCTACTCAAAGCTTCTCTGGTCAGCAACCCTGTCTGGAGGAGATTCGCAGCGTTTTGGCTACACTGAGTTAGCTTTTCTAGGAGTCCTGCCTCCCAGCAATAGGAGAGCAGGCAATTTTCCTTCTGGAATGTTAACTCGGTGCAGCATGGGACAGGGGGTAATGAAAATAACTGTCAGCGTTTGTCTCAGCTGTTGCTTCAGAGCCTGGACTGCCTGATAGCTCTACAAGCATATCTCTGGTAGGAACTTTGAAGTGGATGTTCTGTTCTCAGGCATTACTGCTCCGTTGGGAGAACCTACAGGCTGCTCCTGGCTTGGAAAGATATGGACTGCTTGATTGTTGATTTCCCTTAAATCCTCTCTCTTCATAGAACTGAGGAAATGAATACTCTTGAGATCTGTGGAATAACAATTAATTTAGATGCTACAATGGAGTTTATGCTCTCAAATGTTGGTCTGTTCTAGCTTTAAATGCCCTTAGCTAATGATGTTTAGAAGAACTTCTGATCTCTTCTCCTTTCCTGGTATTTCCATATGGTTCTACTAGAGGGAATATCCAAGGTTATGGTTAGAATTGTACAATGTGTTCAGAAAGGGCATTTTACTCCTTTAATTCTCTTTTCTTGTGCTTCTGTGCTGAATCTGACAGGCATATGGTAGAGAAGAGAAGTACTTTTAACTAGGACTAATCATGGAAATAATGGTAACAAGTAGCATTCACATAGCACTGTAAAGTTTGCAAAACACTTTACAAATACAACCCTGAGACATAGGTGCTATTATTAACTCCATTTTACAGATGAAGAAACAGAAACAGAGATTAAATGATTTGCCCAGGGCCACACAGCTAAGTAAGTGTATGAGGTTGAATTTGAATTCAGGTCTTCCTGACTTCAGGTCCAGCACTCAGTGCATTTTGCTTACCTTGCTTTTATAGGATCCATATCGTGAGTGTATGATATTGCTGAATCAGTGCTTAGTAGCTTACTAATTTTTAAAAGAACGTTTTTATTTTATTTTTTTCTCAATCACATGTAAGAACAATTTTTAACATTCTTTTTAAATAATTTTTGAGTCCCAAATTCCCTGCCCTCCCCATTCCTTAAGAAGGCAAGCACTTTGATGTAGATTATACATGTACAGTCATACAAAACATATTTCAATATTAGCCATTTTGCAAAAGAGAACACAGACCAAAAAAAGAGAGAAAGAAAAACAAAGTAAAATAAGTCTGCTTCAATCTACATTCGAACTCCATCGGTTAGCTCATAAAATTTGTAAATGAAACTACAAGGAAAAAACGAGAACATGGCCCACATTGATTACAAAGAACTCTAAGTAGGGCACTGTGTGTGTGTGTGTGTGTACATACTAAGGTTATTTATCTTTTTCTGTTGGCATATGGCTTATCTGAGTTTACTCATACTCTTTTCCCTTTGCAGGTCTCCAGAAGAGGCTTTACCTGGAGGCGTTGGCAACTCTAACAGCGGGAGCAGTCATTCCACGTATAGTCTGGAACGAGTTGCCCACACCAACTCTGACCTTATTGAATCACCGGTGAAGAAGCCAGAGAAAGAATCCAAGTTGGCTGTTCAAAGGGCAGGCGAGAAAGGAGAGGCCCTTCCACAGTTTGACTTAAGTTATGGAAGTGAGTTTCTGATGTCTTTGGAAATTAGGGAGTACAGAGAAAATGAAGCAAAAACAAAGCAAGATCCAAGAACTCGGGGCAGCTAGGTGGTGCAGTGGATAGAGCACTGGCCCTGAAGTCAGGAGGACCTGAATTCAAATGTGACCTTAGACCAAACACTTGACACTTAACTAGCTGTGTGACCCTGGGCAAGTCACTTAACCCCAATTGCCTAAAAATTAAAAAAAAAAAAAAAAGATCCAAGAACTCCTGTCAGTAATTTGGTAGTCTATCCCTTCACCTAATAGAAGACTTAGGTATCATTTTTCAGTTTGTATTGGATGTGGTAGATGAGGCAGTGGTTGATGCAGCAAGGATAAATGTCAGGAGGTCTTTGTCTAGATGGTAATAGGACTGCTCTTTGATACAGTTGGGTTAGTACCTGTACTGCAGACAAAGTGAGATCTTAGCAACCTAATGAAAGTAACCTAATGTTCTGAGATTAGGGCATTTTCCTATATCAAGATACTTACTGACTTATGGAAAAAACCTTTTTCCCCTTCTTCTAAAACTGCCATTCAGATACTATCATAGACAATCGGGTTTCAAATCCTGGAGAAGAAAATGAAGTGGGTTCCATGGTGAATGAAGGCTTCATTGAGGTTTTAACTAAAAAGCAACGTCGCCTGATGGAGGAAGAACGGAGGAAGAAAGAGCAAGCTGTCCAGGTGAGTAGAGCCAGGAAGGTAGGAAGAGGACAGACAAGTAGTTTGATGCTAAAGAGAGCTGTGAGTAAATGAGAAGATTATAGATAAGACAGTAGAGCAAGGGCTTCCCTACTCCAAGGGCTAAGAAGCTATCTTGCTTCACTCAGTTTCCGAAAACAAATGTGTAAAAAAGAATAGGTAATACTAATGGGTATATGCAAAAATGCCAGGGAGTTTTGTGTGTATACTGAATTTCTTTAACTTGTCTAAGATTTTTCCTTTCTTACCTAGATAGTGAGTCTGATAGCATGAAGACAGTTTTTTTTTATAGATTTAATGTTTTATTTCCCCCCAATTACATGCAAAAACAATATTTAACATTCTTTTTTTTTAAAATTTGGAGTCCCAAATTCTCTCCCCCCTCCCTCTTTGAGAAGGCAAGCAATTTGATATAGGTTATACATGTGCAGGCATGCAAAACATATTTCTGTGTAAGTCATGTTGTGAAAGAAAACATAGACAAAAAAAAAGATAAAACAAAGAAAAAGTATGCTTTGTTCTGCATTCAGATGCCATCAATTCTTTCTTAGGAAATGGATAGCACTTTTCATCATAAGTCCTCATGAATGCAGTTGTACTGCTTGTTTCCAGGTTAGACTTTGGATGAAGTCTTATGAAAAGGAAGGAAGCAGGACCACGAGTGAGTCTTACAGAGAGAGGCAAACATCTGGATCCTCTGAGCCTTCTCTGAGCAATCTGGAAGCCCGGGTTGAGTGTCTAGTGATTAAATTGGCAGGAAGGTCTTGAATTTTTTATTTTGGGCATAGTGTTTAGGCTAATTCACTTTTAACTTTCTTTCCTCAGGCACCCACTAAAAGCCGTGCTCTGTCATCACGGATTCCACCCCGATTTGCTAAGAAGCACAATAACCTATGCTTAGAGCAAGGGGATGGAGCAGTGCCCAGCAGCAGCCTGGGCACAGAAATCTGGGAGAGTAACAGCCAAGGTGAGCTCAGGCAGTCACCCAGTTGGGCCACATCTTACCTTTCCTCCTGCATGCATGTGGGTAGAATTTGGGCCACTAGTGGTTACAGAGGCAGCTCCTGATAAAGCCTAAGTTTAGACAACCTGCTACATTGGCCCTGTTTATTGGGGGCACATAAAAGAACCAGGTGGAGGTAGGTTTAAAAAAAAAAACAAAAACCAACAAAAAACCTCTGCTTGTCTACTTTGGTTAAACAGTGGCTTGTTAAGGATACTTTATTACCTGGAAAAATTCCTCACCACTCTCAGCAGAATGTGTTAGTGATCTTGACATATTTGAGCCAGTGATTTTCTCCACCTTCCTTATTTTAGGGGAGAAATAACAAGGAAGGGAAATGTACTACTGTTGTCTGTCAAAGATTCTGACATTCTTACATCTACAATATGCCCTTTCCAGCTCTATTTCAATTACAATATTCAGGCAGTTTTTGGCTGGTTTCATTTGAAAGCAAACATAAATTCTGTGCACCTTGCTTTAGAAAACAAAGATGTCTAAGCAAATTGTATTTCTGCATATTACCGTTCTGTGTTTCTGTTGTAAATCTGAATATCTTAGAATCATAGTTTTAAGCTGGAAAAGCATGGATGTCCAGAAAGGTACTAGCCCAGGGGTGGATATCCTGCGGCCTCGAGGCCACATGTGGCCTCTAGGTCCTCAAGTGCAGCCCTTTGACTGAATCCAAATTTCACAGAACAAATCCCCTTAATAAAAGGATTTGTTCTGTTAAACTTGGACACAGTCAAAAGGCTGCACTTGAGGACCTGGAAGGCCACATGTGGTCTTGAGGCTGCAGGTTCCCCACCCCTGCCTAACCCTTCATTTTACAGATGGAAGAACTGAGACATAGAGGCCACAAGTGGCAGGGGTTTAGACTTGGACCCAAGGCCTTCTAACTCTGGATCCATTGCTCTTTATGATATTCTTCACTGCTGCTTGTTTTATTGCTTTGGGAAAAATTCTGTTTCTAAGACATTGTAAAATGACTTTTGATAATGAAAAAAATTTTTAATCCCATTTTTATCCTATAAAATATTTCACGATACTCTATATTTTAAAATATCAGTGCAGAGAAGATAGGTTTATTTTTCTCTTTAACATAATTGTTTAAGGGAAAACAATACCAGGTTTACTGAATAGCGTACGCTTTTTGTCAAACTTCCTGTACCACTGCAAAACCACACAGCTGTATCTGTGTAGACTCTGTCTTGGTGAGGCTCTGTGATGGCTACTGGCGATAACCACAAGAGGACGTCTTGGTTAAGGAGGAGATAGCAATGCCACAGAGACAGTAGTTCAGAATGCAGGCCTAAGAGCACATTGAGTAATGCGCGTGACTGAGGTTAAGCTGAAAATCACGCTCTGTGCAGCACATCAGTTTCCTGGCTTATCCTTTTACGTTTGGATTTCTGTTGAGTTTCTGTGTAAAGGAGCGTACTTGTGTTAGCCTTCCCGAGAGCCTGCACACCTGAGTTCTTCTGGTTTGTGGGCTTACGTTCCCTTACTTCATTTCTTCTGCCCTCTCAGCCCTTCCGGTCCCGTCCACCAGCAGCGATTCCTGGAGTAAAGCTGTCAGCGCCTTTACCAGTGCGGAGTCCAGCTCTGCAGAAGTGAGTGGTCCCTCCCTTCCTCATTGTTTGTCAGTGCACTTTTGTGCAGTTGGTATGATAGCTGATTTAGGCTGCTGCTTCTATTCTGTTTGGTAATTCTCCCTGAGCTCTACCACCTGCAATTTGTGACGTTTCTCATATTACAGAAATATTTCCTTGTGGCTACTTATAGTGGGAAAGAACAATTACATAAAATAAAATAACGTGGGTGAGGAGATGGGATTACTGGACATAGCAGTTGCTATCCTTGAGGACACTAGAATTTCTGGTTTGGGTCATAAGTGAAATGAGTTTGGCAGCCTCAGTTTAGGGACCATCTGGTTATGAAGATGTAGTGGGATTAATACATTTGGTAATCTCTCTGGAGATGCTGGGTACTAACAGTAGGTCAGTTAGAGATCTAACTGGGCAAGAGGTACAGTGAGGTGTTTTGGGTTAATTGTAAGGATATATCTCCCTTCTATCCTAATTATAAGTATAAACTTCCCCTTGCATTTTTCCTTTTTGTTTAAGTTTGATGGGGTATGAGAGTGTTAACCCATTTTGTGCTTTGCATAGCAGGGTTTTAAAAGCAGCCAGGGAGATAGTGGCATTGACTTGAGTGCAGAATCTCGGGAGTCTTCTGCGACCTCCTCCCAGAGAAGTTCCCCCTATGGCACTCTCAAACCAGAGGAGATGAATGGGCCTGGCTTGGCGGAACCCAAATCTGACTGCCAGAAGGAGCAGGCTCAGAAGCAATCTGAGAAAAAGGTAATCTGCATTTGACAGCCCAATCTGAGAACAAAATGGCCAGGTTGGACATTTGTTTTTCTTGGGGTTGTATAGAAGCGAGAGTGTTGGCTTTCTTGGTTTTGTGTCTTAGCCTCTCTGCTTTCCCCTTAAGGATTCAGAACAAAGTTCAGGACAGAACAAGGAGCACAAGCCTGGACCCATCGGCAATGAGCGCTCTCTGAAAAACAGAAAGGGCTCTGAGGGTGGCGAGCGACTGGAAGGCAATGTCCCACCTGTTAATGGGGTGGAGATTCATGTGGATTCTGTGTTGCCTGTTCCACCCATTGAATTTGGAGTCAATCCTAAAGTGAGGATTTTACTTTTGCTTTTCATTTCTTATTTTGGGGATGGGAGTTTGATAGCTTTTAAATTTGGTGCAAGGATAAGACAGAGTATGCTTCTGGAAATTAGAAGGAGGGGGTAGTTCAAGATGTGTAGGAGAAAAAAATAGTCAAGTTTAAATATTATGAATTCTAGGTAGTATTAAATTGCCTAATAGATTTCATTACTGACACAAACCAGGTTCTCAGGATGAATTTAGCACATAATGTTCACTGTCTCCGTCAGGAAAACAAATGGGAATGGGAACAGGTGAAAATTCCTAAACTCTATGCCTTCATGTGTGCCTTTGGAAAACATGTCATTTTGTTGAGCACAGGGTGAATGTTTGGCTGAATATGTGGCTCTTTGTTCAGTGCTTCTTAGTGGATTCTTTGGGTTGCTGAGTTTGGAAATCAGTTATATTTTTAGCACCCCTAAAGCATGGATCTGGACTGGTCTGAATGGAATGGGTGTTTCCTTCTTTTAGGACTCTGATTTCAGCCTGCCTCCTGGCTCTGCTTCCAGTACTGCAGCAAACCCAGTTGTCAAACTGCAGGATGCCTTGGCCAGTAACGTAAGTGTAACCTACCTCCTGCCTTCTACTTATTCACCTATCATTGTCTGATGTTAGGAATACAGAAATGATATTAAAAGCATCTTCATTTTCTTGAGAATTAGCTCAAGTGAATTTTCCAACTATTCTTTATCTCAACTGCTTTAGAGTGCATCTGTCCTTTTCTAAGGGCCTCTTTAGACTGTTCCATCCATAGCAAATGAATTTGGACCATGGAGCAGAGGCAGGCCAATTGCAAGGTCTATATTGCATATCAGTAATTGGCGCTTTCATGACTTAGTCATCTGTGAAATCTTCCATTCCTGCCCAAGGACCCATTTCTAGGTATATTTCATGCAGCCCAGGCAGTGTTATACTTGCATGTTGAAGCCTTTGAAACACTACTCTTTCTTAGAAATTTGAGTCGAATCTAAGCCACTTAAGTCATGAAATGGAGCTTGCTCAGATCTAGAGAGTGTGAATTGATGAGGTACAGAATGTTATTCCCACGATCTCCACTAAAGAAAAAGAAAACTTATTTTGAGTTTGTTAACTTATTCCATTAGCCACAAGCATATCAGCTTCTGGGTACATGTGCCAGAAAGTTAAGACTACTGTTTCACTCAAGCTTTCTCCTAATTTCCTCATCGTTTTTCCTTTATGGAGACCTTTTCTTCCACACTATACTCATGACCTTTCCTTTTTGCTCTCTCCAGGCAGGGTTAACACAGTCTATTCCCATTCTCCGACGAGATCATCACCTCCAGCGGGGCATCAGCCTGAACCCAATGTCTTTCCCTACAGCTGACCTCACTCTCAAGGTAAGGAGGGCATTGGTACTGTTTGAATGACAGAAACCTTATTTATTTTAAGAGGTAGAGAAGACAAATTACCCTGGATAACTGGCCTTCATCCTGGTTTTCCTTATATTTGAACCCTCAGAATTTCCTTGAGTAGCTATATGTATATATATATAGCTGCTTTCATTATCTACTGCTATCACTGCTAGTAATTTTTATCTCCCCCCTCCCCCCTTCCAAAGATGGAGTCTGCGCGCAAAGCTTGGGAGAACTCACCCAGTTTGCCTGAGCAGAATTCTCCAGGAGGAGCTGGTTCAGGCATCCAGCCTCCTTCCAGTGTTGGAGCTTCCAGTGGGGTCAACTACAGCTCTTTTGGCGGAGTTTCCATGCCACCTATGCCTGTGGCATCTGTAGCACCTTCTTCTATTCCAGGTATCTTGTTCCCATACCAATCAGGTTTAAAGTGCTCCTTCCAGGTTACCATGAGAGACCTATATTGTAGCAACAACTCTTCTTGCCTTGGATTGTATTTTTTTTTTTGTGGAGTCTGTGTAAATATGCGTTTCTTAAGTCCAGGTAGCCATAGATACCTTTATTTTGTGATGAGATTGACCATCACTTGCACTTACTAGTGCCTTTCCAAAGGCAAATTTGAGAAATGTGGTCCTAGGTCAGTTGTGGTAAAGTTGTACACATTGGTGTCCCAGAAGAGCAGCTTTCTATGAATACAGATCATAGGAATTTTGAACCCCGCCACCCCACTCCCCAACAGCATTGAGTCTCTGTGATGTATTTCAATAGATCCTTCTGACCCTTCAATGTGTACTCAATAAAAGGGAAATGAAGAAACAATACCTGAGAGACTTAAAGTTGCTTTTGTTTTCATTCTACCATCCTTATCTGATTTTTCTAGACTCCTAAAGTCTGGTTAAAATGAAGACAAAGAAAGGAAGAAGGCTGAGGTTGAATTCAGTTTTCTCTCCTAGTCTATAACATTTAGGTCTGCCACCTTAAGTTCTAATGCCTTAGACCAAGTTTTCCTGTTATGCATATTAGCTAAAAGAGCTTCTTGAAGCCTTCTTCAGGTACCAGAATCTGAAATACAAATACCCAACTACAGTTAGCAAGTTGTCTGGTTGTGACACTTGACCTGATGTAGCATCTTACTTGTAGCAGGAATGTTTCCAAACAGATGATATTTGTGTAATACTTTAGAGTATACAAAATACTTTACATAGAATACATTAACTGACTTGAGAAAGAGGGTGATGAATTTTGTAGGTGCCCTGTCACCTCTTTTTGTTCCTACTTTATAAGTGTCTAATTGGGATTGACGAAAGTGGGAAGATTGCAGAATTTTCTTTTTTATTTCTAATTTCAGGTAACCACATCCCACCTTTGTATCTGGATGGCCATGTGTTTGCAAGTCAGCCCCGTCTGGTTCCCCAAACGATACCTCAACAGCAGAGTTACCAACAGGTAAAAGCAGCCTAGAAATTACCACAGTGTGAGAATGAAGGGACAGTATCGAGTTAAATACTTTAGAATTAATCCTTTCCTTCTATTAAATTTTCTTCCTGTTGGGATTCCTAACATATAACTCTTTTGAAATTAGCCCTCTTATTCCTTGGTATGATGACAGGAAAGAAGGCCTATTAGCTACTGTCAGGATCAAATGGTTTATAGAAGTGAACTTGCACTGATTTTGACAAGAGGGTCTTTATCTCAGATGCCTAAGGATTAATTCTGGAGTTTTGCCTCATTGAGTTAGTGGGCCTTCCTCTCAATTCCTATGAAACCATATGCCAGACTGCTATGGGGGGTGAATAAGGATACTGTTATATGGGGTGGGGAACCTGTGGCCTCAGGGCCACATGTAGCCTCAAGGCTGCAAGTTCTCCTCCCCTGGTATCGATCAGGAAGAAAACTTGGGGAATGTAGTTAGAGTAACAAAAGGCTTGAGATAGCTCTTGTTTCTGTTTTTCATCATCTTGTGCTTTTTTTTTCCCCTTCTCTTCCTCCCAGGCTGCAGCTGCCCAACAGATTCCAATTTCTCTCCATACATCTCTGCAGGCACAAGCTCAGCTTGGGTTGAGAGGTGGACTTCCTGTCTCCCAGTCTCAGGAGATCTATAGTTCTATACAGCCCTTCAGGTAACATATATAGATATTACATAGTGTCCTAAAAGTCTTTTGGGACCTCCCTGTATTTATTCTGAGGTCAGTTTGTGAATAGGGCCTTGAATATGAAATTTGACTTAAATTTCCTTGCCCTACCTGCCCATTGCTACTGATATGCCTTCACTGTTAATTCTTGGATTAGAGATGCCAGTTGATAGCTTTGTTAAAAGTTCAGTGTTTTGTGGATAGCAACACCTAGATTATTTCATAAATTTCATATCAAGTGCTTTGCCAGCGGTAAAACTTGATTTTGGGGATGGAAGTGGTGGTTATCTAAGAATGAACTTGTTCTGATAAAAAGATTCTTTCTTTAGATCTCAGGTGTATATGCACCCCAGCCTGTCCCAGCCCAACACCATGGTCCTAACTGGAGGAACTGCCTTGAAGCCTCCTTATTCTGCTTTTCCGGGCATGCAGCCCTTAGAGATGGTCAAGACTCAGTCTGGATCTCCTTACCAACCAATGAATGGAAGCCAGGCTCTGGTGTACGAGAGCCAGCTCAATCAGGCAGCTGGAATGGGGGCCTCCCAGATGATGGACTCCCAGCTAACACAGGTTAGAAATAACCTGACGTCAGGGGAACATAATTTTTTTTTTTAATTTTTCTAGTTTGTTGGTCTTTAAAGCGTTGGTAACATCTCTATAGCTATGGTATTTTAGCTGACAAGATAACGAGCATAGGACCATTTCTCTCTTTGTAGCCTTTTTGTCTGTCATAAGCCATGACCCTTTAATACTAAGCTATAACAGGAACAAAATAAAGAATAAAAGAATTATTCCCTGCAGTTACCATTCTCTAGAATGGTAGTGTGGTATAGTACATACTACAGGTATCCTTAGAGTTGAAAGGACCTAAGTTCAAATCCTGTCTCTGACAAACACTGGTTGTGTGACCCTGGGAAAGTCAGTTACCCTCTCAGTGTGATTAGATATTGATAGACTGAGAGTTTCCTTACCAGGAGTTCATTACACAGTGAAATCATAGGGTTAAAAAAAATCATTCCATAGGATAATTGTTCCCATTATAATGCCCATGCCTGAGTTTAAGAATAATACCTGGGTTAAACACTTTCATTATTAAAGATGTGAGCTAAATTTCATTGTATAGCTGGGGCGGGGAGAGGGGCATGATTTAACCTGCATTCTCATAATAATAGAAAACAAGGTACTTATTAATGAGCAGGATTTTATATCATGCTTTATATGCTTCTTATTCATCCTACAGACTTCATTTAGTTCCTTCCTGTTAGACTCATCACCACCGTTTCCTGACGTTACAATATTTGATTCAACAAATATCTATTAAACGTCTGTTTATGTGCATGGTGTTTTGCTAGGTGCTGGGGTTAAAGGCAAAAGATGACGGTTGCTGTGTTGTTAAACATAATTTCAATTTTGATCTCAAGCACTATATCTGGAAGATCAAAAATCAGGGGTAAAATTCTTTATGTCTGTGTAAGATTCATTATTGGTAAAAAAAAGAAGCCCCAAAAACTTAGCATGTCATTAGGTTCATCTTCAATGAACTGATTAGTGTGGGAAAGTATAGTAGCAGATAAAGAAGCTTTCTAGCACTTAATAATATGTAGTATTTTCTGTTTGTAAGAGAAAAAAAATCAGAGACTTCCAAAAACTTCAGCCCATACTCTGGGTATCTGCAGTCCCTAAGCTAGTGTCAAAATGTGTTTCAGATCACCTTGTGTCTCTGCAGTATCACTCTTATTATCATGGAGCCCCAGAGTCCAGTTTTAACTCATTTTTATACCACTGAAGCAAAACCCTGCTAAAGGCCCAGCAGTGGAGGCTTTTATGTCTCTATCAGAACAGTTTGCCCAGTGCAAGTTGGTTAGTGGTACTAGGCTTAGTCTACATTAAGGAAAAGAAATGAAATCTGGAGAAGGAAAATTTATATGCATAGATATTTTCTATAGCTAGCAATCTCTATAAAGAAACATATATCTGTATGACTACCTGTCTGTCTGTCTATAGATAGGTATATTTATAAAAATCTTCAAATGTTGGGCCTCATGAGAATAAGAGGGGACAGTAGTATTTTTAACCTGTCCACTTTGAGTGAATACCCAATGTTTTTCAGCAGTTAACGATGCCGTTGCCTGGCTCCCAACTACCTTTGCCTCGGTATGGTTCTGGTCAGCAGCCATTGATTTTACCACAGTCCATTCAGCTGCCGCAGGGACAGAATCTCCCTGTAGGAGCTCCCCGAAGAATCCTTCCACCTGGATCCCAGCCTTCTGTCCTTGCTACCAGCAGAGAGGTAAAGATTGACTCTAATAAGATTGTGGTCTGACAGAAAGTCTTGGTGTTGGATTTTGTTACCTTATTCTTTTTAAATAACAGTTGAGTCCAGTTAGAGGAGAAAGTATTTAAGATTTGAGCCTTCTGGTCATTCCCTTGTTGCTAGGAAACACTAGCCCCCCATTACCCTATCCTAAATGTCCACTGCTTGGTTGTTCTGTTTCTGAGAAATCCTTTATTTTTAATCCCTAGAGTTTATGAGTGTTGTTTAACCCCAAAGATGGTGACCTATGTGGTTAGCCTAGTGTCTGTTGTATGCAAGAAAGCCCAGTCTGTCCCTGTTGACACAATGCAGCAAAGGCTGAGCTGTCTCCTGGTTTCATCACATGATGGATTCTTACCTCTTGGTCTCCTTTAGTCCTCTCAGATGGAGATGAAGGGGTTTCACTTCGCTGACGGTAAACAGAACATCCCTTCTGGAGGGTCTGTTCCATCACCACAGACCTACAGGTAAAGAAGCTATGGTTGTTGGATCTTAAACAGCCAAACACTCTGTGTGATTAAATACTAACCTATGGAGAACACTGGGTAACTTAAATACTGGTTTTTGGAATCCCAGGAGAAGTCAAGGTAGAGATTAATGTTGTACCTTTTATTAATTAACCTGTGTTTCAGATGGCATTAGAAAGTCCTAAGTAGACATGTGAAAAGCCTTAGTAGTTGGATCATCCTAAATAATACATAGAGTTAAAGAATTTCCTGGGACAGAGTGGCAAATACTTAAAGTTTTGCTAGAAAATGAGATTTTTCCCTCTTCCTCCAAAGGACCAAGGGGCCTTATAGAGCACAGGGTCTAGAGATGGAAGCTTCATTTTATTGAGAAGGGAGTTGCCTTTCAATTGTATCTTTTCACCATAAATGGACCTTTTCCAGTACCTTACATAGTTATCCCCAAACAAGCTAGCAAGCTGGCTTTTTTCCCCTTTCTGAAACTGTGGCAGCTCCCTAACTTGGGTGGGGGGTGGTGGGACATACGGAGATAACCAAAATACAGTGTCACAAATATATATTGCTTTCTGTAAGTGTTTGGGGGTAGGGAAAGGAGTATCTGAAGCTGGACCTATATATTTGTTTTGATTCAGTGTTGGAAATATAGTGTTCTACTACCTCCTTTGGAGTATTTGGGAAATTTTACTTCATTATCCATCTTCCTTTAGTTGCTTTAGGTAGAGTTAGAAGGTGGGTGTTTATTTCTATAATATTCCATTGTTAAAATTAAATTTTTGGTATCCTGTTTTTGGTTATTCAGTTAAAGGTTATATACACCAATATGTCACAGTTTAAATTCACTGTTAAGTTGCCAGACATTAGTTCAGGGAGCTGTTAATTTAGTAATCAGGTTAAACCAAAATGCCAAGAAAACCTTATTTTAAATGGATGTTTTCTGGTGTTTCAGTTTACATTGACCATTACACAGCTCATCGGAGGAATGTCAATTCCATTAGTCCTGTTGTTGAGCATCACTTTATATAAAGTGTGTATGTATATCTCATAGTTTCTTGAGATCTGTTTTAGATACATACTAAGGTTGCAATCCCTTAGTTCAGAATTATTGCCCATATGCTTCTGCCTTTTCTGTCCTTAGAACACCTCTCCTGGTTTTTAGCTCCATCCATTCTGTTGCCTTAAGGCCTTAAATTTTTCATCTATGTGTTCTGCAGACTGCCCAGATGGGTCCAGATGCCCCTGGCCAAAGAGGACCTTTCTTCATGCTTCCTCCATATACTAGGTTTTTGTTCCATTTTTGTGGTGATACTTTGTGTATTCTCAACCACTCCCTTTGGTTTTTTCAGGCCTAGCTCTGCTAGCCCCAGTGGGAAGCCATCTGGACCAGCAGTTAACATGGGCTCTGTGCAGGGACACTACGTTCAACAGGTAGAAGATGGCTTTCCAGATCTTGTCCTGTACTCTTAGGCATTTTTCCAAGTGCCCAAAGAGAGGGGAACATTTATTCTATTGAGAATACTCCTTTTTTTTAAAAGGAGGAATATGCAGGAGGTTAGAGCATGGGATTGGTAGTCAGGCCGCCTGGCTTCTCTTCCTATCTCTGCCCCTGATACTTTGGTTGAGCTACTTTTTCTAGGCCTCAGGCTCTCCTTTCCGTCTCAGAACAAGGGAGGATGCTAAACCCTCTTCTAAGAGTGATGCTATCAAGGTATAATGTTTATAAATATGTAGAAATCTTTGTATGAAGAGAGGTACTCTGGAGGACTATTAGGTTTGTGTGTTAGCTTTAGTGGAGTGAGAGAGAAAGAGAGAGAGAGAATGTGTGAGAGTGTGTGTGTGTGTGTGTGTGTGTGTGTGTGTGTGTGTGTGTGTGTG